CCTCCTCCTCCGTTCCCCCGTCGTCCGGGTCGGCGCTACACCACACGTGCGCATCCCAGTGTGCACCGCAGAATGGTCTGTTGAATCAGTCCATTTGATTTTCGGACGGCCAATTCTTTGGGATGATGCGGGAGGACTCGGGAGGACTCGTAGATTCCAACGGCGCATTTTGGTCCATAGGGATTCCTTTCCAAATCTAATCTGAAACAATTGATGCTTGTGCAATTCACCGGCGCATTTTGTCATCAGAATTCCCTCTACAAGTCCATACACAAGCATGGTGCTCCTTGACATGGTTGTTGTGGTGCACGCAGGCGCCGTGGTGTACACAGGCGCTGTGGTGCACGCGAGCACTGTGGTGTACGCTGGTGATGTGCTGCGCACGACTGATGTGGTGTGCGCAGGCGATGTTGTGTACACAAGCGCAGTGGTGCACGCAGGCACTGTGGCATACCCAAGCGCTGTGTTGCACGCGGCTGTTCTGGTGTACGTCGGCGGTGTGTACACAGGCGCTGTCAGCGGTGTGGTTCACGCAGGCACTATGGTGTACACAGGCGTTGTGGTGCATAGCGCCACCTACATGCTGCTGCTACCCGTCCTCGATCACTCCTTGGCATTCCCCCAGACGCCGCGGGTGCGAAACGTGACGTCATTGCCCCCCCCACCCAGATGACGGCCGTCATCGGCCCGCAATTGCGGATAAGAGTGAGGGGGCGGGCGCGGGCGACGCGGGCGTCGTCGAGCCGGCGGACCTCGTGGCCCCCACCTTCCCTGTCGATGGCGCTTTCCTCCACCTCCTCCTCCTCCTCCTCCTCCTCTTCCTCGTCCTCATCGTCATCGTCATCGTCATCCTCCTCCTCCACCTCGTCCTCCTCCTCCTCTTCTTCCTCGTCCTCCCTCTCCCCCCCTCGTCTTTTCATCATCGTCCTCCCATTGTCGTCCTCCCCCTCATCGGCCTCCATCATTGTCCTCCCATTGTCGTTCATCATCATCATCATCATCATCATCATAATCATCATCATCATCATCATCATCATCATCATCATCATCATCATCATCATCCTCCCCCTCCTCCCCCTCCTCGTCCTCCTCCTCCCCCTCCTCCCCCTCCTCCCCCATCTCGTCCTCCTGCTCCTCCTCCTTTTCTTTCTCCACGTTCTCCTTACATCCTCTCTTCTTCCGCGCTCTCCTCGTCCCTGTTTACTCCTCCTGCCTCCCCCTCCTTTCCCAAGATAGCTGCAACGCAATTTTTGGTTCCACTTTATGCTCCCCGCCTTCTCTGATCAAGGCAACTCGCCAGGGTAAAGTTGCTGGACGGGCTGGTGTGGATGCGCGGGGTTTGAAGAGGTCCTTGCGGGCTCAGACGGCATGCAAAAATCCGCCGTCGCGTTTGTGCGGCATTGGTTTGTTCAGTGAACGTGGTTTAGGTCGCGGGTGGGTCGCGGGCTCTCCACCTCCACCTGGAAGGAATGCAAAAGCAGCCCGCCGCAGGCGCCAAACAAATTGGTTTGTACACTGAACGAGGTTTGGGTCGCGGGTTGGCCGCGGGTTCTCCACCGGGAACGAATGCAAAAGATACCCGCCGCAGGCGCCGAAAAATGTGGTTTGTACCCTGAACGTGGTCGCGGGTGGGCCGCGGGCTCTCCAACTGAAACGAATGCAAAAGATGCCCGCCGCAGGCACCGAAAAATGTGGTTTGTACCCTGAAAGTGGCTTGGGACGCGGGTTGGTCGCGAGTTGGTCACGGGGTGGGTCGCGGGCTCTCCACCTGGAAGGAATTCAAAAAAGCCCGCCGCAGGCGCCGAAAATGGTGGGTTGTACCTTGAACGTGGTTTGGGTCGAAGGTGGGTCGCGGGTGGGTCGCGGGGTAGGTCGCGGGTGGGTCGCGGGTGGGTCGCGGGTGGGTCGCGGGTGGGTCGCGGGTGGGTCGCGGGGTGGGCCGCGGGCGGGTCGCGGGGTGGGTCGCGGGGTGGGTCGCGGGGTGGGTCGCGGGGTGGGTCGCGGGGTGGGTCGCGGGTGGGTCGCGGGTGGGTCGCGGGTGGGGGGTGGGTCGCGGGTTGGGTCGCGGGTGGGTTGCGGGGCGGGTTGCGGGTGGGACGACGACAACAAACAAAACAACAACAACAACAACAATCACTTTACCCGAACGCTCAGTGTTCTCACCAGTGCCAGGGTTTTCATGCGACGCCAGCCAATACCCCCACTTTGTGGGGGGGCAGTGCAAGCTCTACCAAATATCCACACGACTCTTCGCCACCACCCACACCCAGCTTCCCGCCCTATGACGTTCGGACACTTCACTTCGTGGCCTGCGGACGACCGTGGCTACTACACTGGCGTGGAGTACACACCCACAGAAGTTGTTAGGACAGCGCGCGCGGGTAGAAATTTTGAAAAGTCGTGCAGGTGTTTTTCGAGGACCTACGGTGCGATTCGTGTGATTTTATGATGCGCGGTGCTAAAATTCTTAAGAAGCCCAATGGTTTTTGGAGATTTCGGCGTGCGCGCGCGAAGAAAAAACGAATGTGTCCCGCATGGTATTATTTGACAGGGATGATGGCCCTGGCAGGTGCGCAACCGTTGTCGCAGAAGTTCGAAAAAGTTGCTCGCAAAAGCCCGTTTGACAGAAATGTTTAAAAAGTGTTGGGTTTCCTACGAATCCGCAAGAGCGCGCGGGATGAGATTTTGACATTTTTTGTTGAAAAACCATTGGTTTTTTGATGTTTTTATGTTAAAATCGCTCCGAACACTAAGCTTTTGGAAGGATTTCGTCTTGCGCGCGCGAATGTCCACTTTACCTTATTTTTTGCAAGGGATTCTTGAAATTTGATTATATTAGAACAAGAAATGTCATTTTATAGTGTTTTTTGCAAGGGAAAGCGGAGGGAACAAAACAACCGGATCTTGATCACATCGAATTACCTGAGGCTTCCTCACGAAAATGATGAAAATGTAGCTGCGGCCTAGGCGGCGCAGGGGGGCCGTGCACCAGGGGCCCCAACAATAATTATTCTTTAGAATTAATAATTTCAACAACAACAACAACAACAAAACAACAACAACATCAGCAACAACAACAACAGCAGCAACAACAACAACATCAACAACAACAACAACAACAACAACAGCAACAACAACAACAAACAACAACAAACAACAACGACAACACAACACCAACACCAACACAACAACAACACCAGCAACAACAACAACAACAACAACAAACAACAACGACAACAACAACAACAACAACACAACAACAACCACAACAACAACCATTTTAAGGCTGTACGCTCTTACTTGCCCGCGAGTCATTCAACACGTATACCCTACACCCTCGAAACCCGCCCTCTTCGTCTTCGATCACACCCCTTTCGGGGGGATTATTTCTCTTTGCTGGGGCCGGCGGGCTTAGACGTACGGGCAAACCGGAACGGGCGGACAATCCTTCGGGGGCGTACATCTCTCTGCCCGCCATTGGAATTGGCGCGGGCCCTGCAAGAGGAGGAGGGGAAGAACGAGGGAGAGTGGGAGGAAGGGGAGGGGGAAGGACGAAGGAAGAGGGAAGATACCACGTTGTGAAGGCGTCCTTGGCGCGTGCGTGGTTCCTGAGCGCCGAAACGCAATTCCAGAAAAATTTGTGAGGACGTCGCACGCGAGAGCGCAGTCCTGAGTACATTGTGAGGAAATCTCGGGCGGGAGCGGGGGCCCTGACTAAGTTGCGAGGAAGTCTCAAGCGGGAGCGCCGTTCCTGAGCAAATTGCACGGAAGTCTCAGGCGGGAGCGGGGGTCCTCACTAAATTGCGAGGAAGTCTCAGGCGGGAGCGCCGTTCCTGAGTCAATTGCGCGGAAATGTCAGGCAGGAGCGGGGGTCCTGAGTAAAATTCGAAGAAGTCTCAGGCGGGAGCGCCGTTCCCACGTAAATTGCACGGAAGTCTCAAGCGGGAGCGGGGGTCTTGATTACATTGCGAGGAAGTCTCAGACGGGAGCGCCTTTCCTGAGTAAATTGCGCGGAAGTCTCAGGCGGGAGCGGGGGTCCTGAGTAAAAATCGAGGAAGTCTCAGGCGGGAGCCGTTGTTGTTGTAGCCCGGGGGGCAGGGGCACAGTTTGAGCAGGAAGACTTTCCTTGAGAAAAAACAAGGTGCGAGCCCCGGGGGTGGCACTTCAATCGAAAAAAATCAATGTGCACCGGTGGGGGGGATCAACAATAATTATTCTTCAAGAATGAAAGTTCAACAACAACAACAACAACGAGAATCCACACCGCGGAATTCCACTTCAGCCACGCACCCAGGGGCAGTGAATGACCGTTCGGCCCCCTCACTCATATATAGATATATATGTACACACATAGTTATATATATACAGGTGCTAAGACGAAGCCAGGATGAGGACAACTTCGGGTGAAGATCAATCGATAATCGCTGAGAGCCGGCGGCTCTGAAAAATGTATCCTGTGCGCCGCGGCCTTCTCAAAGCGTCCGGGAACGCCCTGAGAGCGTTCTGGAACGTTTTGGAACGGATAGATCCTCGCCCCGTCCGACGCAGAGAGAGGATGGATGTTGGATCCCTGGACCTGGACACCCGGCGGCTCGAAAAAGCGGAGGCGCCAATGTTGTACTCTTCTCGGCCCCGACCAATCTGGCGGCGCGCACAATGGGGTGGACGGCAGAGGGGAGGCTTCTTAGAAGGAGGCTGGGCTGCTTCTTCGAAGGCGCTGGCCTTACATCTATAGATAAGCACTGCCCCTTGTAAGAAGCAGGGGAACTTCAAAGTAGTCCTCCCCCACGCCCCGCCCCCCCTTCTTGGGGAAATCGAAATGTACCGGTACCGCTACTCCCCGGACCTCTCCCGGGGCGCTTTCCGACCAGCATTTCGCAGCGAATCCAGCGGGGGCGACGAGGGCCTTCCAGGAGGCCCCACAGGAGAGAACGGGCGAAGGGCAGCGGCATGGATGGACACCACCGCTCCTGCTGCAGAGACGGGGGCCTGAGTGAGGCCTCGAGGACCCCTCGCCGAGCCCCCGCCGCGGAGGTGGCGGCGGCCTGGCCCTCGTGCCACTGCTTCCTGCGCCTCGCCTCCCGCAGCCCCACGGCGGGGCAGCCGCAGGCCACGTGCGAGCGCCGGTGCACCGCGTCGCCCAGGGCCACCGCGGCGGGCATCGCACCGGCGGCACGGCGAGCGTCGCGCGGCGAGCGCCGCGCGGCGAGCGCCGCGCGGCGAGCGCGGCGCCGAGCCCAGATGCGCGGCGCGCGGGCGGGCGCGGCGCGCTGGGGCGCGGCGCTCGGGCCAAGGGCTGCTGCTGGGGCAACTCGCGGGAGCCTGCCGTCCCATCGACGCTGATCGACGCTGGTCGGCGCTAAATCGGCGCACTGCCACCGAGCGCACGACGCCAGCACATGCCAGGCTCCCACTACCTAAGGGGCGGCCACTTCGCGGGCGGTGGCCAGCGTATGATCTTGTTCAGCGCGCGGCCGCAGGGCCTCCCGCCCCCCCTCGCTCCGAAGGCGGCCACTTCGCGGTTGGCGGCCGACGTGCGATTGTGGTCAGTGCACGGCCCCACAAGGTCGGGGGGCGTCCAAGAGGGGGGCGTCCAAGAAAGGGGGAGCACACATCACGGCCGCCGGCATGTGCGCGGCCCAGGGGGAGGCAGGGGTCTGGGACGCATTGAAATAAGAAGACGCGCCGTGAAATCGGGGGAAATATCATTGCCCCCGCCATGATATCCAAACCACCCGCATCACACTCTCTTGGCCGTCCCCGGCAAGGAGGTCAAAGTACATCACGGCGGGAGGTCTTTCCTCAGTAGGGACCGACCGTCCCAGCACAGGCCTAACACGAACTGCTCTTAGACACGCCGTTAGAAGGACATCACAGTGTTCTCAGAACGAAATTTAACCCGACGCATCAAAAAAACAAGACGGTATCAGCCAGAAAAGCTCCTCAGAACATCTCGTGCAAACCACAAAAGGTTCTCAGGGCCTTCTGTGGGGGTCCGCTAGGCAAGCCAAGACGCTTCGCCACGACTCGACTTTGCCTGGTTTGCGGCCTCCACGGTTGGGCGCTGGGCGGCGAGCGCGGTGCTCCGCCCTGGCGCGGCGCGCGGGCGCGGCGCCCGGGCAGAGGGCGGCCACTTCGCGGGCGGCGACGGGTGCGTGCTCTTGTTCCGCGCGCGGCCCCGAGGATCGGAAGGGGGCTTGGTCGGGACCACGGCAGCCCTCCCCGCCGCTTTGAGGGCGCTCTGCTTCAGACTCGGGCAGATTTCCTTGCGTGCCCCCCTCCCCCCTGAGACGAAGCCAGGACGAGGATAACATGGGGTGCGGATGAATCTAAAAACTCTGAGATCTGGCGGCTCCGGAGGATGTCTCGGGCGCCGCGGCCTTCTCAGAGCGTTCCAGGACGCTCTGAGAGCGCTCCGGAAAGCTCTGGAACGGATTTATCCTCGTCCTAGCCCCGTCCCCCCCCCCTCTCCGCCGCCTGCTCAAGCAATGCGCAAGTGAGTCCCGGCTTGAGCGAAGTCCAGCTTCCCTTTCGGGCCTTGCCACGCCGCCCCCCCAAATGTAAGTAGACTTGCCAGACTCTATGGGAGAATGACCTCAAACGCGGCCACCAATACTACAGCCATCGCACATGCTATACACCGTCGGCAACGACAAAGAAGGAACGACGGGGCTCTCCTGAACACGGCGACCCTCGGACACGAATAGGTTCCACGGCACAGATCTGATCACCAGCGCATCCCTCCTCCTTTTTGTCTTGGCAAGCTCATGGACCTGGAGGACCTGAAGCGTCAGACAGCCTGGGCTCGGGCGGGCCCAGGCGACAAGTGTAGTGCCTCCTCGACTCCCGAGGCGCAGATCATTCCCCCTATCATGCCCCCCGTCCTCACCCCCTCCAGCTGATTGAAGGGGAATTGGAACACACAAATAAATACACACAAATAAAAATATTCCCCATATTTTCCCATATTTTCTGGGTTTCTGTCTTCTCCCCCACTTCCTATATTTTCCCATATTTTCTGGGGAATCGCCGATTAATTGTGTCTGTGTGTTTCTTTCCCTCCTGAGTAGTGCCTCCTCGACTCCCGAGGCGCAGATCATTCCCCCTATCATGCCCCCCGTCCTCACCCCCTCCAGCTGATAGCGGCGCTGCCAGGCACAGCATGATGGAGAGGACGAGAATGCCGCCGGCCGAACCTCCCTCCTCCCGATCCTTCCCCGCCCTCGACGAGGATAAGGTGGCCTCGGCCGGTGCGCGTGCCGGACCGCCTTTGACAGCACGACGGCCTTTGACAATCGGCGATGCATCACCGACACATCGGCGACATCCCCCTACCGGCCTAATGATTTTTTTCACGACGCGAAGTGGACCGGGCATCCGTCTCGATCGTGCCGATCACCCTCCCCCATCTGGGACCCTGCTGCTTTAAGGCGCGCGCCCTGCACGCGGCCGCGCGGCCGCGCCCAGCGGCGGCGGAAGCGCCACACCTGGGAGGCCTCCCGGATGGGGGCCGAGGAGGGTGGCGTCGGAGGATCGCGCCGCATCGGCGCTGCATCGGCGCCATCGGCATGGAGAAACTCGGGCTCGGCATCGAGCCCCATCGCTGATGCATCGGCGATGCGGCGCGCTCCTCCGACGCCGTCTACTCCGACCCCATCTGGGCGGCCCGGATACTCCAGAGATCCTTCCTCGGTTCCGACGTGAGACCAATGCACTTTCGGCTCGGGCAGGTTCACCTGCACTGGATTCCCCCCGCGGAGAAGGCGTTCGACAGAGTCCTGACTTGCGTGAAGTCCACATTTCCTTTCGGGTCTCGCCACGCCCCGAAGCCAACTTGCCGGACTCTACATGAAAAAACTGCATCCGTCTGCAGACCCGATGAGCATCGTGCCACAGGGCCATCAAGAGAAGCAGGGCCAGCAACAGCGAATCTGGAACGCGAAGCTGCCCGCGGGGAGGAGGTCGGGACCAGAATGTGAGAAATCACATCGGCGGGTGTCAGGGTAAGACGAAGCCAAATGCCAGGACAGAATCGGACCGGGGAGACTCGGGCATCTCTGTCCGGAGGATGTGCGCACTTGGATCGCCGCGGGGATTGCTGAGGGGATATGGTGCTTAGAAGTGGATGCGAATGTGGGTTGTGCCTGCTCTATCCCAGGTTACAAGCTAGGTTCGGCCAAGCATACACTACCTTTGCCTCCATTTCTAGCCCCCGTATCCCCTTAGCAAACACCGCGGCGATCCACAGATTGGGCGCCGCGGCCGTTCCAGAACTCTCTGGGAGGATCCCGGTCCGGGCCCCGCCCGATACCCACCGAGGTCCATCGATCCTGACCACGTCCGATTCCGGTGTATTGCTACGCTCGCCGTGGTCGAACCAGGAGGAGAAAAACACCGATCCCTGCGCTCCGGTAACAACTTCAGCCGTGCACAAGCACCATCGCTGGCAACAAGCTAACCACCGACTCCTATGAGAGCATTGCTTCAGAACTATCTATAGCGACGCCTCTACAAGCTAGCAGGAGTCCCCGGTTCTGCAGGCTCGTTGACCCTATCCTAGCGATCCGACCACATCTGCACCCAGTCAGAACTCCATACGCCACGCTAGAGCATCGATAGCATTCCAGTAGGCATACCACGAAACGATCTCAGAATCCAGAAAAGTGTCATTGAGAACCACCAGACTGTTCTTAGAACGTAAACCCGATGTGCATAAAACAAGACAGTCTCAGCTAGACATGTCCTAAAGACATCTCGCGCAAAGCACAAAAAGGCTCTCAGAACATCTTCTGGTGGGCCTATGGGCAGGCCAAGCCGTTTCGCCACTGCTCGAGTCAAACCAGGGCGGGCCCGATCAGATGTCCGCGAGGCGGTCGACCGACGCCGCCCCAGAGCACCGCTCGCAGCAGCGCAGCTGCCGCGGGCCCCGCGCCAGCGGGCGGAGGGCCGGCGCGGGCGTCAGTCGGAGTCGCCGGAGTCGCCGCCGGCTCTCGCGCCGCCCGGCGCCGCGCCGCGACCCGCGGCGCCCCGGCCCCGGCCCCGGCCTCGGCCTCTGGGCGGGCGAGGAGCCGTACAGTCAGAACGTGCATCAAGGGCGGATGGTACGGACACGAACGTGGATGTCTTGGGCGGCGGGCGACCAAAGCCCAAGAGACGCAACCGTATCCCAAACCAGGGAGAGGCCAGTGGAAATGGCAAAGGACGCACCGCAGAGGCAAGGACGCGCCTTGACTGTAAACTTTACAGCCGCGGGCATCCCCGACTCCTCAGATCCAACGGGGCGAAAAAAGTTGGCCATCGCGAAGTCACGATCGGGATTGATTTGTGAGGGGGCCCACAACTAGGCGAAATCGCCCAGTGTGAAAAAATTGCAGCGCCCGGTTGCGGCGGTTGCGGCGGTTGCGCCCAGTGATCTCAAGAAATTGCAGCGGTTGCGGCAAGGGCCTCCCGGGAGGCCCAAAGAGGCGAAAACGAGGCAACGGTAGCAATACTTGATCGGTACCCTTCCCTCGTTGGGTATGAGCTTCCAAACCGCCCCAAGAGCAAGCGTCCCCGACGGCGCAACAATTTGTTCCTCGTTCGCCGAGACGGAACTTCACACGTTTTAGTGGCACCCAGTAGTCGTACAACAAAGCTGTTTGTTGTATGACTTCCCATTGTCACACAAATCCTCTGACGTTTCGTACCCGTCTATGTAAAAAAACGACTACCAGCAGACATGTGGCAAATAAGCGCGTGAGGTTATATATATATATATATATATATATCAGCGCTTCCTCTATGACTACCTGTAACGAACGTGTTCTTAGTCGCTGTTCCCACATTGTCCGAAAGGGAGGGGTCTGGCTCCAGACTTCTGCTTAGTGCGACGATTGGGAACAGCGCTCCCAAGGCGAATCCTACGGGGAGGCGGAGTCCCCGCGCTGACTCCAGCTGCTTGACAGCCAAGATCTGCTCCATGGGGGGGGTGCGAGGGCCCGCGCCGATCGACAAAACAAAGACGAACAAAACGATCACATCATGAAAATTCGAACGGTGTGTCATCACACGTTGTATGTTGATGTATTTATCTGTATACATATGTGCATGCATATATATATATATATATATGTATACATATATGTATGTATGTATAGGCATGCATGCTTTAAAAAGACATGTACATGTATACGCATACATATGTAAACATGTAAGTGTAAGTATATATGTATGTATGACTACATAGAACTACATAGACGTGTATGCGTATTTAATCAAACGCTTCAGGTGTGTATATATATATAGATATGTATAGAGATTTATGCACATGTATGTATGTATGTATGTATGTATGTATGTATGTATGTATGTACGCATGTATAGATTGCAACAGTCTTCGTCCGCGGGGCCTCTGCCGCGGCCCTCCGGCGCCGGCGCCTTGCTGGCGGGGGCGCCGGGCGCCGCCGCGGCCGCGGGCATCTCCTCGTCCGCGGGGCCTCTGCCGCGGCCCTCCGCCGCCAGCGCCTTGCTGGCGGGGGCGCCAGGCGCTGGCGAGGCCGCGGGCCTCTTCTTCGGCTGGCCCTGATGGAGGAGCAGCGAAGCGGCATACAGTCGGCCCTGATCAGTAGGTCGGCCCTGCCAACTCCACGGTTCCCTCAGGTACCCATCGTGTCCTGTGCCTCGCGACCCATGCCTCCTACATCCCCCATGCCAATGTGGCCCTCGGAAGGGTCTTGTGTCCGCTCGCGTGTCCTGGCCAATCAAGGCCGACTGTAAGCAGGAACTCTCGGTGAGCGTGTTCTTCTTCGGCGTCTCTGCGTTGGGCGAAAGAAGCGGGGGAGGGAGGGGGGGGGTCTGGCTCCGGAACTCTGCTCAGGGCGACACTTTGCCACAGTGCGTCCTTTGGGGGAAACTCCATCTGCCTGAAGCAGGCGCCGTAAACAGCCAAGATCTACTCCATGGGGGGGGGAGGGGGGTGCGAGGGCCCGCGCCGATCGGCAAACCAATGAGTAAGAGAACGATCACTTTCGGAACTCCGCGCGGGTGCCTCGATCGGCGCTGGGGCCTCCTCCCTTCCCAGATCCCCTCGGCTCGTGAAGGGACCCTGGCGAACCATTTTTCGCCGGGCCCTGGGGACCGTCAAGAATCTACTCGGGATGAAAAATCAGTCCCAGGAAATGGGTCAAGACCTCTGGGGGCCAACATCATGACAACAAACATGACGTCGAGGGTTTGGGCTTGAGGGTCCCAAGACCGTGCGGTGACAGACCGCGCGGTGACCCCGAAATCCCGAAGGAACTCACCGCACGGTCTGTCACCGCACGGTCTTGGGACCCTGGAGGTCGCAGCCGCACGAGACGTCTTCGGAAAACGACCCAAGTCCCAGAACCGTGAGGCGACCCCGAATCCCAACTGACTCACCACACGGTCTGGTCACCACCTTTCGGCGGTGGACTAACATCCCTTTAGTAAACCTCCCCTTAGTGAAAACGGCCTGGGGCCGAAACCGACGGACCTGGACCCGCAAAAATGACGGCCCCGACGACCTCTCGCAAACCGAAAGCGGCCTATTCCTGAATCGACGTGTCAGGGTAGGAGGTCTGTCCAACCCCGAACCTTGTGGAGATCCCCGATCCCTGGTGCGCGGAGTTCGCGTAAGGGGCAGCACCGGGGGCGCCGCAGGGAGGCTCGGCGTTCAGGGACGCTCAGCGCCAAAGATCTGCGCGGAACTCCGAGCGCTTGCCAAGGCATGGACACGGCCCCCCAATCCGCGAGACCCGCCGCGCGACGCGAGCGCCCGCGCGCTGCGCATCCTCGCAGAGCCGGCGTGGGCTCGTGCGCGTGTGCGTCGCCCTCCCGCTCCCGAGTCCACGCGTATATTCCGCTCTGCTCTTCTTGAGCAGAGACCGACCGTCCCGGCATTCTTGTAGTCCTACCACGAAATGCTCTTAGAACCCCAAATTGCAATAAGAACCAGAACAATGTTCGTAGACCATAAACCCGATGTGTTCAAATGAAACAATCTCAACCAGACATGTTCTAGGAACATTTCGTGGAAACCCCATAAGGTTAAAATAACATCGTTTGGCAGGGCTTCAGGCGAGCCGGGACGCTTCGCCACTGCTTCACCTTCTCTCCCCCCGCCTTCGCGGCCAGGGCGAGGGCCCGCGGGGCGACGACGTCGAAGTTCGCGGGCCTGACGTTCACCTTCGAACGGTCGGCGAGCTGCGCCTCCCACCGGCCCGTCTGCGGGTGGAGGGCCAGGAGCCGGCCCTGTCGGAGCATCGCTTGTGAGAGGGGCCCTGGGACACACACATCAACACACACACACACACACAAATCACAGGATTCCCCATACGGTCCCATATGTTCTGGGTTTCGTCGTCCCCCCCCACCTCCCATATGTTCCCATGTTTTCTCGGGCATCGACGGTGAATGGTGTCTGTGTTTTTTTCCTCCCTCCTGCGCATCGCTTGGCCCATCCCGCCCCCGCTAGCACGGCCTCGGCCCCGCTGCCCGAGCTGCCACCCCCGTGGGCGGCGCGCACCGGGGGCCCCATATGGGGGGGGAGGGGGTGAAGGCCTCCTCGCCCATGGGGGGGAGGGGGGAGGGGGGGAGGGGGGGGCCCATAGGAGGGGAGGGGCCCATGGGGGGGAGAGGGGGAAGGCCTCCTCGCTGGAGCATGCTCGCGAGAAGGCGCGGGCCCGACGTCTGCAGACGAGGCCCGCGCATTTCGGGTCGGGCGAAAGGGGGGGGACAGTAAAGGGAGGGTTTGAGAGTCAGCTCACGTAGCTGATTTCCCCGGCGCCTCCCGGCGCCGGAGGCGGCTATGTATCGAGGAATGGGCCCCTCGGTGGGGCCGAAACCAGCTGCATGCAGCAGATTTCGTAACCCCCCCTTTCCCAATCCCCCCCGTTCGTCCAGCCCGAGCATTCTGAGAAGCAGCCCTTTTCGAAGAGGCCCTCCCCCCTCCCCACTGCCCCCCCCCTCTGCGCGTGGCCAACCCTGGACCCAGACCCCCATCAGGTCGTGAAGAATGCACGACGAGCACCTCTGTCGCTGTCTGCGGTCTCGGAAGGCCCGTCACCGGGCCTCGGGACTGCCAACAGACGGCTCGGAAGGAAGAGCCAGTCCCTGGGAAGGGGTCTGGGGATGAGGAGATACGCTGCTGCACTCGGGTGTCGCAGGGCCGGTCCCCATCTAGGGGGGTGGTCGCGGCCGGCTGAGACACCATGGGCCAATAGGGATGGGGATCGGACCAAGTTGAGCAGGAGCCGACCGTCCCGGCATTCCTAGAGGCCTACCACGACATCTCCTTAGAGCAAAAGAACGTTCGAAAAATGAGACCAATGTTCTTAGACCGTTGTAGCCCAGTCTATGAAGACAAGACGGTAACAGCCAGAAAGGTTCGCTAAGACAATCTCGTGCAAACCACGAAAGGTTGCTAGAACTTTCTCTGGCGGGCCTCAGGGAAAAGCCGGGACGCTTCGCCACAGCCGACCTGCTGCCCGTTGAGCTCGGGCTTGGCGACCAGCCCCTTCAGCACGACCATCGCGCCCGGCCTCACCTCGGGCGGCGGCGCGGCGGTCTGCTTGGCCCCCGGCTTCGCGGCAGCGCCCGAGCCGCAGCTGCCGTTCTCCGCGCCGCCGGCGGGGCCGAGGACCTCGCCCAGCGCGTCGCCGAGGGCCTCCTCGAAGGCCGCCTCGAGGCCGCCGACGCCGAAGAGCTGCTCCCCGAGGCTGGACGCGCTGACCTTGCCGCGCAGCCGCACGCGCTTGGGCCCGCCGTCCTCGGAAGGCGCGGGGCAGCGGCCCGCAGAAAACCTCTCGCGCCGTCGCAGAACTCATGACGTCACGTCTTTCGCCACAGTCTCGACCCCCCCCCCCTCCTCCCCGAGACCCGCAACTTCTGGGACCTGCTCCGTGGCCGGCCGGGCCCCGCGACCCGCCGGCCCGAGGCTGACCCGGGTCGGCGCGGCTCCGGGTCGGCGAATCCCCCCCCTTAAGCGCCGTGGCACAGACTTGCGACGGGAGGCTCTCATCCCTCCTCGGCCTCTGGGGGCCCGTGCCAGGCCCTGGGGACGTCCACAAACCGTCGAATCGGGGCGAGAAGCCGGTCCCATAGGGCAGGCGTCGAGACCTCTGGGGGGTCGACGCCATGAACAAAAGCACGGCTTCGGGGGTCTGGGGAGGGCGATGGGTGATCAACCCAAGAGTACCTTCTAACCCTTTTTCAGGGGGCCTGAGTAAGGAGGGCCAAAACCAATAGGGATTGGGTTTTTTGTTTGTCCTGCAGATGTATCAGACTAAGCCGCCCAGGTGTATCATCCATAATGCGAAGACGGGGACCTAAGTGGGGCCACGTCTTCATCGTGTTATGAGGGTTGGGGGCTCTTTTGTTTTCGATCAATGGGAGCGACCCTCTCAGAGGGGATCGCCCCCCTGGAAGACGGGGCGCGCCCCAGGCCTCTCTCTGAGAAGCGAGGGGGGGGGGGGGGCTTCTCTTGGGGGCCCGAGTCCATGCAGACCAGGGTCAACCAGTCCTGTCAGGATGCTGCAAGATCTCGGAGGCCTAGAGGTTGACACCAACACCAATACGGGCAGTGTGCCGCGACCGAGGGAAGGTGATGCCGATCCCTGTGATGGAGGTAATATTCGAACTTCCTAGGTAGGCGAAAGATTACCACCAGCACCAAAATGTATCCTGCCCCAGGGGACGCCCCCCCCTGTTTTGCTGTTGGACCCCCGTTTGCACGTTCCTCCGTCTCGAGGCTGCCGATTCTCTCGGGTAACGCTTGATGTGGGGGCGGCGAATGCGGGGGGAGAAGGGTGTCCTTCTCGGGCCCTCAAGGGCCCCTTCTGGGCCCTGAAGGGTCCCCCCTTCAGGGGCTCTCAAGGGCCCCTTTCTGCAGCCCTCGCCGCCCCCCCAACGCATCGAACCCCCCTCACGCGTCCTCCGAGTCTCAAACAACCGCTCTTCGCCGGGCTCTGCTCCACGAGTCACCCCTCCAGGCCTCGCCAGGACGCGCAGGATAACATCCAGCGGTGGCAACGAGAGACCCTCCCCCCAGAGGCCCAGCCTGAAGGCACGGAAAAAAACACACTCGAGCCGCGATCCTCAAACCTCCGCCACGGAAAGCCGGCATCCTCGCCCTGCCCCCCGTTGCAAGACCCTTGCCGTCGCTCGGATGTCCATGCCCCGTGCATCTGTCGGCTTCGCGCATGTATGTTTCGCAATATGATCCCAGATGCTCCTCGATGGTCCTCGCCGAGAATAAATGCACACGTCCGAACGGTGCTAAGGACCCCTTCTGGGGTCTATCCTGACCAACACTGCATCGTTAACCGAATGGTCACGATCCTCTCTGCTCCTTGCCATCGCTCGGACCTCCATTGCACGTGCACGTTTCTGCTCCGTCCCTGCACGCTTTCCCTGGATGACCAAAACGACTCCTCGCTGGTCCTCGCCGAGAAACAATGCACACGTCCGAGCGATGCCAAGCACGGTCTCTGGGCACTCCGACCCCTTCTGACGAGCGAACAAGCCACACCCGCACCCACAGGGAGGTCGGAGGGAGGAGCACTGGCTGGGGATACGGGTGCGGCTTGTCGGACCCCTGGGAAGGCTCCCGCTCGAGCGGGGACCACGATCCGACAGCACGCACCCGTCGCCCCATCCGTCCCGCCTGTGGGAATACTGTGTGTGTCTGTGCGTGCGTCCGTGCGTGCGTGCGTGCGTGCGTGCGTTTGCGTGTGTGCGTTTGTGCGATTGTGCGTGTATGCGTGCGTGTGTGAGATGCATGTGGGCGTATGTGCGTGCGTCCGTGTGTGTGTGTGCGTGCGTACGCGTGTGTGTGTGTGTGTGCGTGTGTGTGTGTGTGCCTGCGTGTGTGTGTGTGTGTGTGTGTGTATGCGTGTGCGTGTGCGTGTGCGTGTGCATGTGCGTGTGCGTGTGCGTGCGTGCGTGGGTGTGTGTGTGTGTGTGTGTGAATGTGTGTGTGTGAATGTGTGTGTGTGTGTGTGTGTGAATGTGTGTGTGAATGTGTGTGTGTGAGATGCATGTGTGCGAATGTGCGTGCTTGCGTGCGTGCGTGCGTGCGTGTGTGTGCGTGCGTGCGTGTGTGTTCGTCGTCCGTTCGCCACCCCAGGGTCCGGAGCGGCGGCCGCCGCGGCCAGGCTGGCGGCGTTCTCCGCGGCGATGCGCTCCGCCTCGGCGCGGCAGGCCTCGAGCTCGGCGAGGGCGGCGCGCGCCTGCTCACGCGCCGCTCTTCCGGGGGACCACGGGGCGGTGCTGTGTCCGGTGCCCCCCTCCTTCTCCTCCTCCTCCTCCTCCTCCTCCTCCTCCTCCCCTCCTCCTCCTCTCCTCCTCCTCCTCCCCCTTCCTTCTCCCTCCTCTCCTCCTCCTCCTCCTCCTCCTCCTCCTCCTCCTCCTCCTCCTCCTCCTCCTCCTCCTCCTCCCCTTCTCCTGCCACTCCCACTCCTTCTCGTTCTCCGCATCCTGCAGCTCCGGGCTTCGGAGGGCGCCGAGGGGTCTCGGAGAGCTGCTGGAAGGCTCCCGAGGGTGTCGGGAGGTGCTGAAGGGCTTCCAGGAGGTGTCGGGAGGCTCGGGAGGACGCGGGAGGGGTTGGGGAGTGCTTCGAAAGGTTCTCGGTATGTTGCGGACTGTGCTCGGCGAGGCTTCGGAAGGTTGGTGAGGGCGTCGGGAGGCTTCGGGGGAGCGGAAGGCTTCGGAGAGATGTTCAAAAGGTTTGAGAGGCCTCGGAGGGTTGCAACATGGGTAGGGGGGAACTCAGGAGGTCCCAGAATGATATGCAACATGCGGTTGCGGGGAGTCCGACGGTTTGGGACGGTCTGGCGAGGAGTTTGGAGGGTTTCGGAGAGCGGTCAAATGTTTCGGAGGACTTCTTGGAGGGAGGGGGTCGGACCTTTTCGGGTGGCATGCGGGAAGGTGGACGAGGGAGCTGAGGGAGGTGGGGAAGAGGGATGGGGGAGGGAGGAGAGAGGGACAAGGGAGGAGGGTGCGAAGGGAAGATGGGGGAGGGAGACCAGAAAGCCGATCGAGGAGGGAGGAGGGAGAACGGAGGGAGCGAGGAAGAAGCGAGGTTCGGACGGGGAGGAGGCAAGAGGCTGGAGGAAGGACTGAGGAGGGAAGAGGGAACTTTGCGGAGAGAAGAACTGGGAAATAGGATGGAGGGAAGGAGGGCAATGAGGAGTGCGACGGAGGATTGGGACGCCAAAGGAGGAATGAGGAGGAAAGAAGGGTGTGGATGAAGAGGAGGAGGAGGAGAAGGAGCAGGAGGAGCAAGGAGGAGGAGGAGAAGGATTCGTCAGCATCGAGGTCTCATGTCCCTCCCCGCGCCACCTGTCTGTGGGAGGTGTACCTGCGGCCGTCCTGGTCGATGAAGTGCTTCATCTGCCTGCGGGGGCGAGTCTGCGACTGGGGGGCGGCTCGGCAGAGGCTGCCCAGAGCAGGGCGCACCGCGCCCTGCCCCGTCCGCCCGCCCCGGGAGGGAGGAGGACGGGGCTGCCAGAAGGAGGCGGGAAGCACGCGACACCCTCGAGCGGGCGCGCCCGGAAGGATGGGCCGGGGAGGCCGCCGCCGTGCGGGAGGTGCGGCATCCTCCAGGGAGCACGCATCGGACGAGGTGCATACGGGGGTGATGGGGAAACCGAGAGGTGCCGATGCCGCTGCTCCCTGGACCTCTCCCTGGGGGGCGTTCGGACCAGACTTTCGAGGCGAATCCAGCGGTAGACGAGGGCCTCCCAGGAGGCCCCCCAAAAGGGAAAACGGGGGAGAGGTAGCTGTATAGATACCCCTTCCCCCTCCTTTAGGATCCTGCTGGCCTCGCGCGCGTCCGGGGAGGGGCGCGAGGTCCAGGGCAGAAGGGAAAAAGACAGCCGTCGACGACGACGACAACAGCGAGGACGAACGGAGGGAGAGGGGGGGGGCAAAGGAAGGAGGACGGCGTGACGGGGGAGAGCACGAGCAGGAGCGCCGGCCAGGTGCCGCCGGAGGAGGCCCCCGGAGAGAGGGGGGAGAGCGGCGGGTCCCCAGCAACCCCAAAAGGTCTTTCGATCCCCGCCGAGTGCGGGGTGAGCTCATCATGCTTAGGAGGGACTGGGGTGCCCACCAACAGGGGGTAACTATGTTTGTTTGTTCGCGGCACCCGCCGCGCAACGACGACCACGACAGCTACGAGGCGGAGGAGGAGGAGGACCGAGGAGGAGGATCGGCATCACAAGGTAGTCGATGTAGCTCGCGTGCCCTCTGAATCCATGATATGTTGGGCCACGAGGATGATGAGCATTCGTGGCGCACAGGGCATCGTCCCTCATAAACATGGAAAGCTTCGCCCGCGTGGCGCTGCTGACCGTATGCATGCACACCAACCGTAGCGTCGTCCCCATCAGGGTTGTCGATATTTTGGAGGCCGTCGTTCAGATCAGTGCCTATAAACACGCAGGTGCGGTTCGGTAGGTTGGATAGGATGTCGCGCAAGTAGGCGATTTTCTTGTCAGCGACAACTTCAATCTTAGCTGTGGTGTTGATGCGCTGCGATCTCGGGGGGGAGTATGCAGTAATACATGGGTAGTCAAACTGAAAGCCCTTGACGCCTGCTGCGCCTACGCGACCTCGGAGTGAGAGTGGCGGCTGCCATATCTTAACAATATGTTTTTTTGTCGAAACCATCTTCGGCTCAGCCAGATCTCCGTGCCGCAGGACTTGTTGCCTGTAGTGTTGTTGTTCGTGCGGTGCCATCCAAACTTAACCATGCTGAACTCAGTGGTGGAGTGGGTCTTGTAGGCTTCGGAGGTCTTGGCCTGTGCCTGAGAAGAGGACAGCGTCGATGTGTTCCATCTCGCGAGAAATCGCCAGGCGTTCGCCATAATCCTGCAGCGACATGGGGTTTCATGATACGAGACGCATGTAGGCCGTCAGCGTGTGACATAGAAGCCCGATCTTCGGGACGGTGGGCATGTCGCCCACGCTCTGCTGATCTCAGAATACTCGAGCCATACATACATACATATATCTATATAGATACACATATATATATACACATGTATACAGGATGACTTCTGACCGTCGCCGTACACATTGGTTCCTCGATTCGGTACATGGTCGGGGGGGCGGCTATGGCGCGCGGTCCTTTGTGAGCTTCGAGGTCAGAACCTCCGGGGCCTTCCAGGGCGCCTCCTGGGGCCTCTTGCTGGCCGCTTGGAAGCCTTCTGGGGCCCCTTCTGGGCCTCTTGGGTGCCTCTTGGGGCTTCTGGGGGGCCTGCTGGCGGCCTCTGGGGCGGTCTTGCGGCTCTCCCGGGCCGTCTTGGGCGCCCCTTCGGCCGTCTTGGCGCCCTCTTGGGCCGTCGTGGGGGCGTTTGGGGGGCCTCTCGGGCCGTCTTGGGGCGGTCTCGGGGGGGACTTAGGCTGTCTAGGAGCCTCGGGAACCCCAAAAGTCGCATATGCTAAACATGCAGGCTTTCCGATAGGAATTGGACGATGTTGGCCTCTTGAGGCTCTCTTGGGGGGCATCTTGGGGCTCTCTTGGGGCGTCTGGGGGGCCTCTTTGGTCGTCTTGGGGCCATCGGGCCACATCCCAGAACCAACCTCGAGCACACAGGCAAGTATCGAATCGGTGTACGCCCGACACGAAAGCGAAGCGTCGAACGAGTGTCGCCCCCCAGGGCCCGACACGTGAGAACCCTACAGTTACCCTACAGTTTCGTATGTATTGTCCTGGTACTCGAAACTATCTCTAGTAGTCAAGTCGAAAGTTAGTTAGAACATCATCTGGGGAGACGTGAGACTCGGGTTCTGGGTATTCGGGTTGGCCTGACGGGCCCATCATGAAAATAACGAGACGCAACCTGAAATTTGACGCGACCTCCCGCTGCAAACATCCCGCGAAAAATGGACCGTCAGAATCGGCCAGCCCGGGTTCCGGCGTTCTCGAGTCGTCGCTCTGCTCGCCGCACCCGTGCCCGCCCGCGCGGCAACGCCCGGCCGGCGGGCGGCGGCACGGCGCTCGCGCGCTCGCGCGCCCGCACCCACTCCACCGTGGGAGTCGGACCTCCATGCAGCATCCACCTCTGTCCTCCTCCCTGCCCTGAACGGGGAGGGAGGAGGGAGGAACATCCTTCCCCCCATCCTCCCTCCATCCCTCCCTCCATCCTGCTCCCTCCATCCCTCCCTCCATCCCTTCCTAACCTCCATCCTGCTCCCTCCATCCCTCCCTCCCCTCCCTCCCCCATCCCCCTCATAGTTACAGGTCCACCTCCTTCCTCCCTCCCTCCCTCCCTCCCCCCCCCTGACCTCCATCCTCTGCACAGATCCACCTCCTGCACCCTCCTCTGAATGGTTTCCTCCTGTCTGGGGAAGGGCATGGGGGGGAGAGAAAACGAGGTGTATCTGTATTAGGGAACCGAATTCTATACACCAACGCTTTTTCCGGCCCTGCGCTGAGACTATCACCAGAAAGCGGATCCTGGTGTCTATGGTGTCCCGGTGTGTACACTTTTCGTTGCTTCCCTGTGGACTCGGGGAAAAAGTGTACACCGCACCACCCCGACGTCGTCCCCGACCCTAAAAAAATCCTGGGATTGAGCGAGAGCCCGCCACTGGCACTGTATATGCGAAAGGGAACTGGGACACACAAATAAATACACACAAATAAAAAGATTCCCAATATTTCCCCATGTTATCTTCGCTTTTGTCACCCCCCCACTTCCCATATTCTCCCATACTTTCCGGGAAATCGACGATTCATTGTGTCTGTGTGCTTTTTCTCCTCCTGTATGCTCCAGTTTCCGATGCGTGGCTGCTCTCTCCCCCCAGGCTGCGGGTGGGCGGTACGGCGCCGCGCCCCCGCGCCGGAGGCCTCCCGCCGACCCGCAATACTCTCCACCCGAGCCGGCCGCCGCGGGGCCCCCTCTCGCTCCTCTGGCCACCGCTCGGACGTCCATTCCCTTTGCTTTTTCTGGTTTCGTGCGCGATTTTTGCTGACTGCATACCATAGGGGACAAACAAACCTACCTCGCTTTTGACCACCCTCGCTTCCAAAAGATACCAAGCGATGCCAAACTACGGCATGTACTGGTCAGGCCGCTTGACGAGGAGGCGCGTGGTATGACTTGGTTTTGCCTGGAAGCGAAGGCGGGGTAGGCAATTCACGCTCTGATACCAGAAGACCCCTACCCAACCCGAGGACCCGAATTTGAACCGAATTTCGGGTTGGGGGGGGGGGGTGCGGGTTCCATGTGTTCTTTCAACGCTCCCCGACCCCCCCCCCACTGGAAATGGAGGGCAGATCGAGGCCGTCAGGTTGGGTTGGGGTGGTTTGGTGGGTGGTGCTTTTCGCAGGATGATCCAGGATGCTCCTCCATGATCCCCGCCGAGACAAAGCGCACACGTCCGAGCGATACCAAGTCCTCTCCCCGTGCGCCGCGCCGCCCGCTCGCGCCGGCGGCCTCTTGCCGACCTGCACCCACTCCACCCTCCAGCCGTCGGGGAGGACCAGCCCGGAGTCCTGCCGGCCTCGTGCGCGGGCGGCGCCGCGGCTTGCGCGGGGGGGAGGGGCGAGAGGGACGGGCTTGCGCCGTGGAGCAAATCACGACAAGAAGCCGTTGGCCATTTCTGGCCTCCAAGGGCCCTCACTGGGCCCCGCGGAACCATCGAACACTTACTCGGGATGAAAAGCCGGCCCTGGGAAAAGGGTCGGGATTTCTAGGGACCACATGCTCGGACGGGGCTAATTAGGACGAAGAGGAATACGTTCCAGAGCGTTCCAGAGCCCTCTTCGAGCGTTCCAGAACGCTCTGAGAAGGCCGCGGCGCCCCATCCGATACATCCTCCAGAACCGCTGGATCTCAGAGATTCTCGATTCATCCTCACTCGATTTCATCCTTGTCCTAGCTTCGTCTTACGCATTGAAGCAATCAAGGTGTCGCATGTCTGGAGATGCAGCGTAGCCGTCCGCGGCAACGCCGAGGCGAAGGCCAGACAGAGCCGAGGGGTGGCAGGCAGCCAGCAAGGACGCTGGGCGGCACAGCAGCCAGCAAGGACGCTGGGCGGCACAGCAGCCAGCCGAACCAGACCGGCCGAGTGCAGCCGACTGCGGAGCCGATAATCTGACCGAGCCGCGGACGCTCTTGGGGGACAGCAGCGTGCAAGGGGAACAAGCCAGGGTGGTAAGGCGGGAGCAGGAAGGAAAGGGACAGCGGCAAGGAGGTCAAGGAGGGTGGGGGGTCGGGGACTCCGTGGTGGCGGCAGCGGGGACGGGGTACTCTGGGTGTCCCCGAGGGGAGTTCTAGTCAAGAGCCTCGTCTGGGAGAGGCCAGTCACTGCTTCTGGCCTTCCTTCTCGACATCGTGCTCTTCCTCCCTTTGCCTAGCTTGGCCCCTCCTCGTCCAATTCATTGAAGGATGCCCTCCAGGTGCCCGCCTCCTCCGAAACTCACCCGTAGCCAGTTCCACTGCCATCGCGTCTTCGGTTGCTGCCAGAGGTGGCGGTGACGAGGTCGCGACGAGCCGCGGAGGAGTAGCAGCATGTGCTTGCAGCATGACCCACGAGAACCATGTTGGGCAGGCGGCCTCTGGCAATCCGCCGGATCTGCCAACCCGTCCAATCCATCGGGGAGAGACATTGTTTGGCTCCGCCAAGGACGAGCCTGAACTCAATGAGCCTGTCGCCACAATGCGCAGCGGAGAGATCATGCAGCAAAACACGGATAAGGAGGACAGCGCAGAGACCGTAAAGCGGGGGCCAAAAGAGGCGTCCAATCTAAGGCGCACCGAGAAACCACCCAAGAGCGGCAGCGCGAAACGATGAAGTTACGAATTGCGGCCCCCAGCTCCGAAACATACCTCCAGCTCCTGCGCTCAGCCACTTTGGTCACTCAAGCCGACGACGCTGACAAACAATAGTCATTGTGATTAGAGTGACATGCTTTTGAATCCATTTGGGGCTCCCATGGTGCAGAAGGCTAAGGCTTTCCGACCCAACTGGTCAGTCTGGCTGGTTTGGCCTGCGTGCCACGAGCCTGCTTGGCCGGCTGGCACGGCCTGGCGAGATCGACGCGGGTAACGCGCATTCGCTTGGCAAACGGGTCCCGCCTTTCTGGTTGGGTGGTGTCCTTGCTCGAGTGTTGTGCTGAATCCTGTTTGTATGCTCTCCGACTGGCGAATAGCAGGGCAACGCGCAACTTGTAATACGCACTCTTCGGCGTTCCACCATGCCTGATGAACACTCACCCTTGGATGTTGTGAGCAATAGCATTTAGATAGTCAATCGCTTCGCTCACGCTGCCAGTCCATACTAGATGTAGTGTGAGGAGCCCTTCGGCCAGACTGGCTCGTGGACAAGAGGTCTTGTTGGGAAGCGTGTCGGGGTCTCTTTGGCGGCCTCTCGGGGGCATCGTGGCGGCATTTTCGAATCTCTTGGGGGCCCCTTGGGGGCCCCTGGGGGCTTGCTGGCGGACTCGAGGGCCATCATTGGGAGATAGGGTTTCAAATGGCACTTTGGAGTCTCCTCGTGAAGTGCTTCTTGGATCTATCGGCGGGCCCTCTTGGCTCCTTGGGCCGTCCTGGGAGCCTCTTGGGCTGTTTTCGGGAGATCTTGGGATTTGGGTTGTCTTCGGCAGTCGGAAGCCCGCAAAGGCGGTAATGCCCAAACACCTCAAAACAAACAAAAAGACAATTGACATTGAGCCTCGGGGTGCCCTCATGGAAGTTTCTCAGACCATCTTGGGGTTATCTTGGGGCCACTTGGGGCAATATGTTGGCCATCTTGAGGTGTGCCACTCATTGATCCCAAACTCTTGGGCCTTCCTGGGCTCCTTGGGGGCTCCCCTACAAAGCTTTGGAAAACCCTGGAAATCACCCTCAAGATGTCTGGCAACCTTGGCAGGAGACTCCCGCCGTGCTCTCTTTCCCGGGCCGCCCCGCGCGCGCGCGAACTAGAAATACTGTCAACATGTTACCGGAGATGTCAGCACGCCTCTGGCCTTCTGGGCCAGCGGCTCCAATTACTACGCGGCCGATCTGCGGTTGATCGGGAGCGCCTGTATAGCCGACGTCGGTTGCGCCTTTTCCCTGACGCCGCGTGAGATACAATCAGGATGAAGGCAGCATCGGATCGAGACAGATCGGCAGTCTCTGAAAGCGCTCCAGGGTGCGACGCAGGGATCTGTCCATGACCATCGGCAAGCGTCGAATATCGATCATTTCCCCCCACACACCCAAGAGCCGACCAAATTTGCGAAGGTATATAACTGTAAACATATGTAGACATGTACACATATATGTCAACCCGCGTGCGCCGCAAACGATGTGTTGCCAACAATCGATGATGTGCAGGATACGTTCGACAAGATCTGTGGTGTTATATGTGGTGCGCTCTGTGTAGTGGCATCGCTCTTGTATAACCCGTGTGAAACATAACATGCTTGTGATACATTCTACGTTGTGCCAAAACGTTTGTGCAATCCATGTTGCGAGCGATGCAACTAAAACGTACGAGGCGCGAGTAGCAACATCGTGCAACAAATGTGCTGCAATGCGTGTGGGTCAAACTATGCAGAACAACTGCTGTGGTGCAGTATGTGAGGTGAGATCGATGTGGTGGGATCAATGTTGTACAACATATTTGCTTTTACAAACGAGCTGAATATCCCATGCTCGTGCAAACATCCCACCCAACCACCCGCAACTTGGTCTGCAAAACCCATGCGGCAGCGATTGCGGTGAATGCTTGGCGTTGGTTGGTGCATGTCTGCGGCCGCGCCGACCCAAGCACGCGCGCGCATCGGCCAGCCACTTTGGCGACACCGACGCGGGCGGCCACGGTGGCGCTGACCGCTGGGCACATCCCAGCGGGCAGTTCAGTACGAGTCGGCGACTTGGGCGGGCCCGGTACCATGGCAACGTCGACAACGGTAGAAACGATGGTACTGATAGTAGCGATGCTGGTGACGACGTTGACAACGACGACGGCGCGGCCAGTGACGGCGCCGATAGAGATCACGCTGGCGACGATGACGGCGTCCTCGCGTCGGCGATGAAAATTTGAAAAACAATTCGACCTGCGCGCGCTGCCGAAGCGCGAGAGTGGCCCACATGGGATTATTTGACATGGATCGTACCCCCCCCCCCCAGCACGCGCGCAAGGGCGTGCGAATGATTCCGGCACGCGGCGCGGAAAGGCCCGTTTGGCAGCTTCCAATGGAAATGCAGAAAACAAAAAAAAAATGGTTGTATTGAGAATTCGCAAGAGCAGGAGCGCAACGTTTTGAAAGTTGATGTTGCGAAACCATGTGTTTTTGAATGTGTTTTGGACACTCGGTTTTGAACCCGCTACGAAACCGCAAGTTTTTGACGAATTTCGGCATGAACACGATTTTTGTCCGATTTTTGTCAGAAGGATTCTCGCGACAGCACGCGCGCAAGGGCGTTCAAACGATTTCGGCACGCGCGCGCGAAAAGCCTTTGGAAACAATTCGATTTCCTCGACCACGCGCGCAAGTTTGTCTTGAACATCCATGTTGCAATGCCAAAGTTTTTTTCCTGTACATTGGAATAGCTCGATGTTGACAATCTTACGAACCCTATAAGTTCTTTCAAGGTTTTGGCATGTGCGCGCGCCGACGCTCGCGTGCACTTCGCAAAGTCGTTCGCAAGGGCTTCTTGAAATCAATGTTTGATGAGCGAATGCGCGCGCATAGTATTATTTGCAAAGGGTGGCACGGGGGGGCGGATACCGGCTCGCCTGGGATGGTATGAACTCATAGGAAAAATGCCCATAAGGAAAAAACATGCGTAAAAAACCATCCGCGAGGCCAAATTGATAACCCCGGGGAGGGATATAATTCAGGGTTTTTTGTCAGGCAATTGATGCTGCGCAAGCAACGTGAATGTGCAACATCTGCTGAGCAATCTAAGTCTTGCGAACCCATTTTGGTGCAATCTACGTGGATGTGCCGCAAACGTGGCTGTGCAACCTAGAAGGTCCAATGTCTGATTTATGTTGTGCAGTATATCTATATATAATATGAAGTGCAATCGCGATCAAGAATCGCGTCGCAGGCGCGATATTTTGCGTCGTGCGATCCAAAGGCGGCGACCAGCGGGGACGAGGCGGCGAACGGGCGGCGACGGCAGCCACAGAATCACCAGACCGAAGACACGGCCCAGTCGACGGCCGGCGAAGGGGCGGCGACACCGGCCACATGGCCGTCAGACCGAAGACACGGCCCAGTTCCTTCGGACACAAATAATAAACAGTAAATGCAAGCACTGCTTTGGGAATATAGCTGCGATCGGAATTTCATACTCCCAAAGAATGGGTAACACACATGTTTCCCAGGAGCTAAGTGAAGGCTGCCGGCACCAAAAAAAATAAGAAAATTATTGTTCCGACGCCGCCGCCACCGTCGTCGTCGCAGCCGCCGCCGTCGTCAAGGTCGTACGAAGACTCCGCTACGACTACGACTATCACGACGACGAGTACCACGACGACGTTTACTATTACACCTACAACTACAACCGCTCTTACAACTACGATTACATGCGCTACTAAGACTCCGGAACACAAAACCGACGGGAATGGCACGGACTTGTGCTACAAACCTTGTCCAGACGGGTACGGGGTGTCTCCCTCGCGCAGCGTGGCCCAGGTGACCTTCCTAAGCGAAGATGTAGCAAAAAACGACACGTCGGACAGCACCGGGAGCATAAGTCCGGGGGGGCGAGACGCCCCCCCCCCAACACCATGCTGAACATCCGACGCGCGATCTCCAACATCTCAAGCTTCTTGAAATGAAGATTATGAATGTGGACTATGGATGAGCGTTCGGTAAGTCCGCGTCGTGTGGACCGGCGGCGACGGGCCGCTTGCGTTCATTGCGTTCAGCGTTAAGCGCCGTGTCCGACCCGACTTGCGGGCGCGATGGTGGCTCATGTTCTCCACGCCGCGTTGCAGCTGCGCGCTGCTGGCGACTGCCATTATACTGGCACTCGTGCGAAAACGTCCCGTGTGGCTATTTATACTGGATCTTACCAGCCTGGAGCATATCCCTATCCCTATGCTGGGCACCTCCTCATCACGATGCCAATCTTAAGGATTCCCTTATTTTTTGAAGGCGAACCCCTAAGATTGTCATCGCCGTTTGGCGTGTCAATCTTCGGGATAGGGATACGTTCGAGGCTGGTAATGATATGCCGCACCCGCGCCTGCGCGCAGACACTTGCACCAACGCCCACAATTTCAACGTCGCAGCGCGGCAGCGGCGATCCGCGCGCGCGTTCGGGCGAGACCGGGACACGGCAACGCGAATTAACCCGCATGCAAGAGGAGGGGGGAAGGCGAAGGGGCGGCCACGGAGGGAGGGGAGCCGGGCGCGAGGGCACCCTCTCGCAACGGGGCTGCGGCGAGAGCGCGGGGGCAGCCGGGCTGAAGGGCAGCCCGTTGCAGCTGTCGCGGGGCGGCATCGCGATGCAATCAGGGGTGCGGCCAGCAGACCAACACCCGCACATGCACTGACACAGACACGGACTGCTACACACATGCTCAGCATGCACCTGCGGACAAGCCCTGCCGGTACCACCTTGGCTGGCCCCTGCTGCTGACTCCGCGACTGCCACTGGCACTTCAGAAACCTTTTCGCGCGTGCGTGCACGCGCCCCGAACCGACCTCCTCATCAACGCTCGGGGCAGTAACGGAGCCCGGATGCGCGCATTTTGAGGCCGTGGCTGACGAGCTCGCGCTCGTAGTCCAAATCGTCGACGTCCGCCTCGGAAGCGTGCTCCTGCCAGGACAAGGTATACGTGTTCGGGGAGGGTCCCAAGGTGTGCGGGGGCAGGCGGCTAGGACGAGACAGCGGCGGCGGTGGGGGGAGTGGGAGGGGGTTGAGGAGTGTTTCGCCAAGGCATGGCATGCTGAGGAGGAGGCTCAGGACGGGAATGAGGGCTTTGGGATCAGCAGCAGCAACAACACTCAGGGGGAATCATATCCTGAGGGGGAACAGGAATATGGAACAACCGGAGCAGAAAAAGCAAGATTTCCCCGCGACGAGAGTGAGGACGAGCGACTCGAGGCCCCCTGGTTCACTGGACGACCAGGCCTTGAAAAACCGTGCTCGCGCACAGGTGGGCCAGTCAAATGGCCTACGGAACGCGAACTTATATGGAATGCCCACCGAATCGTAACAAGCCAGGTCCTGGGCGCGGGGGAATGCAACCACGACACCCGCAGACGGGTGTCCAAATGAAGATGCTTCCTTTCCAACAATCGCTTGCGGCGAGTTCTAGCGTTGAGATCACGAGACTCAAGAGAACCATCCTGGAGCAATAAGCACGCTCTGGCGCTGGTAGCAACGACGCACAGCCTGCAAAGTGTGTAGAGTCAGCGTGCTACCAAAAGAAAGGCTTAATCGAATCCTAGATTCCTCCACTTCCTCCTCCTCCTCCTTCCTACTCCTTCCTACTCCCCCTTGGGATCCTCCTGCTCCCCCTCCCCCTCCCTCCTCGATTTCCCCATCCTCCTTATCCTGTTCCTCTGTCACCCTCATCCTCTTCCTCCTCCTCCTCCTCCTCCTCCTCCTCCTCCTTCCCCTTCTTACCTCCCTCCTGGTTTTCCTAGATGGAGAGGGGGAGGGAGAAGGATATTGATATCAGATTATGCAAGCGCGATCGGGGCGCGGGTTGGGGAGGCGTTGGTGGAGGAGGAGGAGGAGGCGGAGGAAGAAGAGCGTGCAGAAGGAGGAAGACGGATGATGGGGCGGACGCAACCTCGTTCGCCTCCTCGTCGGCGTCGGCAAGGTGGGCGAAAATGGCCTTGTCCACCGCCAGGGTCCTCATCGCCTCCAGGGCGGGCGCGAACTCCTGAGAGGATGCGTGAAGAGGCAAATTCTGGGAGGTCTTTGTAAGAACAAATTAGGGGTACGCGAACTGATGCTGGGGCCATCGAACCCAAGTAGGCCGGATTACGCAAGCAGGGGCACCATCGACTTTGCCAGCCCAACGGGCAAGAGGCGTGCTAAGATTTGTAACAAGGGTTTCGGAGAGTTCTACTTAATCTGCGCGCGCGGGGCCACCCCTGGGAGCTCCCAGACGGCATGTGGCCCGGCCTCTGCGCCGCCAACCTCGATTCAGAAATGTGAATGTTCTCTGCGCGTTGATCTCGGGGCTCCCAAAGCGCTCCACGGAGCCTCCCAGAGATCCCGAAATGGTCCGAAACAGCCCAATACGCCCCGAAAAAATGTTAGGACGGCCCGGGACGCTTCCGAAACGCCTCAAGAGAATCCCAAGAGATACCCCAAGAAGGTCCCGAGGGGCAAAAATATGGCTGTTGAAGGCTTTTCGCGTTATCGTCTTTCCGTGCTTCCGACCCTCCAGACGGCCCAGGAGGCCCACAATATCACCCCAAATGGCCCCAAAACGGCCCTGCAGGGCCCAAAGATGGCCCAAGAGGCGCCCAAGACGGCACAAGAGCGCCGCATGACAGCCCCAGAAGGGGCCCAAATAGAAGGAGCACGAACCGAACATCCGAGCGTTTCGCCCAAAGAGGCCCCAGGAGGCCCCCAGGAGGCCCCCAGGAGGCCCCCAAAGGCACCCAAGAGCCCTCCCAGAGGCCTCAAGAGGCCCCTGAGACGCCCAAGAAAGCTCCCCAGAGGCCCCCAAACGGCCCGCACGAGGCCTTGAAACGGCCCCCAAGAGACCCCCACGAGGCCTCCCGGGAAACCCCAACGAACACCCAATAGGCTTCGCACCCACAGCCCAGGCACGGTGGCGGGATGGACCGAGAGTCGTTACGTATATATACAACAACAACAACAACAACAACAACAACACCAACAACAACAACAACAACAACAGCAGCAGCAGCAGCAACAACAACAGCACCAACAACACCAACAACACCAACAACAACACCAACACCATCAACAACTACAGCAGCAACATTAACAGCACTAACAGCAACAACCACAACAAACAGTATAAGACTGTTCGCTCTTACTTGCCCGCGCGTCAGTCAAAACAACGAGTTTCCCACAACCCCTGTTGGGGGAGTCTTTCTCTTTGCGGGGGGCGGCGGGCTTAGACAGGCGGGCAAACCTGAACGGGCGGACCATCCTTCGTGGGCGTCAATGTGCCCGCCATTGGAATTGGTGTGGGCCCTGCAAAAAGAGGAAGAGGAGAACGAGGGAGAGTGGGAGGAAGGGAGAGGGAGGGACAAAGGAAGAGGGGAAACGCCAGGAGAGAAGGAGCGAAGAGGGGGGCGGTTGATTAGAGGCTGAGAGAGGGGGATAGAGAGAGAGATAAATAATGAAATAACGACAGATAAGAGAGGTAGAGAAAGAGAGAGGGAGGGGAGAGAGAAAGAGAGAGAGAGAGAAAGGAAGAGGGAGGGAGGAGGCAGGAGAGGGGAGAGAGAAGGGAGGAGGGAGAGGAGGGAGAGGAGGGAGAGGGGATAGGGCAGAGAGGCATAAGGATGAGGGAAGAGAGGAGGGAGAGAGAAGGGAAGAGAGGAGGGAGGAGGAAGGAGGGAGAGGGAGGAGGAGCAGGAAGGTCAAAGCGCCAACGTTCGAGGAAGTCCTAGGCGAAAGCGCCGTTCCTGAAGGAAGTCTCTGGCGGGAGCCCACGACGGGCGGGCGATCCCCTGACGGGCGGATCGGGCATTCAAGCGGGATGCCTATGGCAAAAGCGCGATTACCGAGTCAATTGTAACGGCGTCCTTGGCGTAGCGTGTTTCCTGAGCGTCGAAAGCTTGATTTCTTAATACATTGCATGGAAGTCACAGGCGAGAGCGCAATTCCTGAATAACATGTGAAGGGTTCTCTGGCGGGAGCGGGGGCCTTGATTGAATTGCGAGGAACCTTGATTCAATTGCAAGGAAGTCTCAAGCGGAAGCGCCGTTCCTGAGTAAATTGTGAGGAGGTCTCAAGTGGGATCGGAGGTCTTGACTTAATGACGAGGAAGTCACAGGCGGGAGCACCGATCCTGAGTAAATTGTGAGAAACCTCAGGAGCGGGGGTCCTGAGTAAATTTTGAGGAAGTCTCAGGCGGGAGCCGTTGTTGTTGTAATCCGGGGGGCCAGGGGCCCAGTTTGAGCACCAAGACTCCCCCTGTCAAAAAACAGGGTGCGAGCGTCAAGGGGCACACATTGATTTAGAACAAATAATATGCACAGGTTCAGGGGGGACCAACAATAATTATTCAGAAATGAGAGTTCAACAACAGCAACAACAATCACAACAAAACAACAACAACAGCAACAGCAACAACAACAACAACAACAACAACAACAACAAAAACAACAACAACAACAACAACAACAACAACAACAACAACAACAACAACAGCGACAACAACAACAACAACCATGTTAAGGCTGTGCGCTCTTACTTGCCCGCGAGTCATTCAACACGTATACCCTACACCCCCGATACCCGCCCTCTTCGTCTTCGATCACACCCCTTTCGGGGGGATTATTTCTCTTTGCTGGGGCCGGCGGGCTTAGACGTACGGGCAAACCGGAACGGGCGGACAATCCTTCGGGGGCGTACATCTCTCTGCCCGCCATTGGAATTGGCGCGGGCCCTGCAAGAGGAGGAGGGGAAGAACGAGGGAGAGTGGGAGGAAGGGGAGGGGGAAGGACGAAGGAAGAGGGAAGATACCACGTTGTGAAGGCGTCCTTGGCGCGTGCGTGGTTCCTGAGCGCCGAAACGCAATTCCAGAATAATTTGTGAGGACGTCGCACGCGAGAGCGCAGTCCTGAGTACATTGTGAGGAAATCTCGGGCGGAAGCGGGGGCCCTGACTAAGTTGCGAGGAAGTCTCAAGCGGGAGCGCCGTTCCTGAGCAAATTGCACGGAAGTCTCAGGCGGGAGCGGGGGTCCTCACTAAATTGCGAGGAAGTCTCAGGCGGGAGCGCCGTTCCTGAGTCAATTGCGCGGAAATGTCAGGCAGGAGCGGGGGTCCTGAGTAAAATTCGAAGAAGTCTCAGGCGGGAGCGCCGTTCCCACGTAAATTGCACGGAAGTCTCAGGCGGGAGCGGGGGTCTTGATTACATTGCGAGGAAGTCTCAGACGGGAGCGCCTTTCCTGAGTAAATTGCGCGGAAGTCTCAGGCGGGAGCGGGGGTCCTGAGTAAAAATCGAGGAAGTCTCAGGCGGGAGCCGTTGTTGTTGTAGCCCGGGGGGCAGGGGCACAGTTTGAGCAGGAAGACTTTCCTTGAGAAAAAACAAGGTGCGAGCCCCGGGGGTGGCACTTCAATCGAAAAAAATGAATGTGCACCGGTGGGGGGGGATCAACAATAATTATTCTTCAAGAATGAGAGTTCAACAACAACAACAACAACAACAACAACAACAACCACGACGACGAGGACGACGACGATGACGACGACGACGACGACGACGACGACGACGACGACGACGACGACGACGACGACGGCGGCTTTCGGGTCACAAGTCGGCTCTCTGGCGGCCGTTCGGGGAGATCTGGGCACTCCCCGAACGCCCTCGGCGAAGCATAGAGCATGGAGGGCGTCCCGAGGCTGGAACACCGCCGGGAGCCGACGAACACGTCTGAAAACCCGGAACCTCGAAGTCGACGCGACGACAACATCGACCTCGACGAAGACGACGTCGGCAGCGACAACCTGCCTGACAATCGGAGGTCCTCCGTACGCTCCGTGAGCTGCCGGAGGGCCTCCTCGTCCGCGGTCTCGGTGCTGAGCGACAGCGACGCGTCCTCGCCACACCGCGAGCATTCCTCCAACTTCTCCTCCTCCTCCTCCTCCTCCTCCTGCTCCTCCTGACGTTTCTGACGTTTCCCGCTAAGTACAACGTCTCTAACCTGCTCCTCCTCTTCCTCCTCCTCCTCCTCTTATGCTTATTCCTTTTCCTCCCTCCTCCTCCTCCTCCTCCTCCTCCTCTGCTTCCTCCTCCTCCTCCTCCTCTCCGTCTTCCTGGTGATTCATCACACGGGTACGCGGCGTGATGAACGTTTGAAGGCCCAAGGTAACCTCCAAAACAGCCAAGATAGCCACCAAAACGGCCAAGATGCACCCAAGAACCCCAAACACGGACCCAAGATGCACCCAAGGCGGCCCAAGATGCACCTAGGGCGTCCCAAGATGGCCTCAAGATGGCCGAGGACGGCCCAAGAAGCCCCAAGAGGCTCCCAAGACGGTCAAAATAAGGCCCTCTAGAGGTCCTCCATGAAGGCCCGAAGAGGCCAACATCAGTCGAGACCCTCAAGTGTTCGAAGGATTCGGGCATGTGTTTCTAATCGGCCTTCCGACAACCCAAGGCAGCTCATGAGGCCCCCAAGCGCCCGAGAGGCCTCCAAGATGGTCCAATGGCGGCCGAAAGGGCCCCTGAGATGGCCCAAGGGGGTCCCGAAACGGCCCAAGAGGCCTCGAAAACGCCTAAGTTGAAAACAGACGACGGCCCTGAAGCACCACAAGAATGCCCAAAGAAGGTCCAGAGCGACCCCAAAGACGGCTTCCGACGGCGTCAGACTTGTCTGGCACGCCCCAAGACGTCCAAAGAGGCCCCCATGAAGCCCCCAACGGCTCCCCAAGAGGCCCACCGAGGCCCCCGAGAGGCCTCGAAGAGGCCTGCAGGAAGCTCACAAGAGGTACCAAGTGTTCCCCGAAGGGCTCCACGATGGCTGGGGGGACGCATGGTCCATCAGCTTGGTAAGCTTTGCCGAAACGCTTGGCCACATCAGCGTATCCTAAAACGTAGGGGGCGGCCGTGACTCGCCGTAGGCGTCTTCGATACTTGTGTGCGCAAAGTCAAACGCACGCCGTCCCCGAATCTACCACCCTGACAACCTGACTGAAAACTGCCGCTGGTCCCGACACGACTCGGCGAGGTACAACTGCTGCATGGCGCGTACGAGTGCCCGTGGCTGCACACCGCCCTTTTCGGCTTGCTCTTGTAGCCGAGCAAATTCGTCATGCAGCCTGATGGGAGGAAGCGCAGGGAGGAACCGAACCGAACACACAAATGGAATAATGCACGGCACTATGAGGAGGAGGGGCATGAATGAAGGGTCGGATATTTATCCGCCCCCTTGCCATGGATCGACACAACATCTGCGAGGCAGAAGACATGGCGGCGACTTCAGCACACCGATCGCACATGTCCAACATGCGTGTTCCATTTTGCAAAACCTCGACGGCTGAGATCACACAGGGGGAATTGCGATCGGCGCTCTGGGGGATGATCTCTGCCCGATCCAGGGCCCTGCAGGGGGTCCCAAAACCTCGCGCTCCCCGCCCTCGCCTTTGCGGGCAGCGCGGGCGTCGAGAATTTCGGGTGCGCGCGCAGGTCTCCTCTGAGTGGCTTGAGGGCTCGGCCTCTAGACGCGCGCCCGCCCTCTTCTCCGACCTTTGAACGCCCTGTCGCTACGCCCGAAGCTCGCAGGTGGTTGGTCCGCACTCTGCCCAGGCATCAACGCTCTCTCGCGCCGCCCCCCCTCCCCCCCGAAGAGATACGACTCTCGGGCCGAGATCGTGGAGCACGATCGAGTGTCGAGCCCCTGCGGCGGATCCGGGCACGGCAGGCTCCTGCGCCCTGTCTCTGGACACCGTGTGAGCCGTGCCACCTTGAGCGATGGCGGCTGTCCGGAAGCCGTGGCAGACCATTCGACCATCGGCCGATTCGGGACCACTGGCGGTATGCAACCTGGAACGCCCGCGCTGGGGTCGCCGCTGCGCCGACACGGCAATAGCCTGCCGCCATTACGGAGGCTGCCCCTCTCCCACCTGGATCCGTTCTGGAGTCCATCGCGACATCGCGACAGCACGAAAGGCAGAACAAGCACAGCATAAACATGAAGTGTCGGAGCTCCGCGCGGATTCCTTGGATCGGCGCCAGGGGGCGCTCAGCGCAGATCCAAGAAATCGGCGCGGAGCTCCGACAATTCCCGCATCCATGGCCGGGGAGCGTATACTGCAAACGCCACGACGCCGTGACAGCACAGTCCCAGACCCCCGAGGTCATCACTTGGACATGACATCGCCCTTAGAAGTCGCCTCCCACTGTCCGGGACCGGCTTTTCATCCTGAATCATTGTTTGACGATTCTGCGACCCGGCGCGGGCCCCGGGAGGCCGAACATATCGACAGCGACAAACAACTCCGTCGTGATTCGTTTCTCGACGCGATCAAAGTATTCCTCAATCGCGACAGCCTTAGGCCTTCCAAATGGGATTCGAGCACATGGGATCGAAAGAATCGCGCCGCATCGGCGATGCATCGTCGATGCAGCGGCGACTTCGGCGATGCATGGGCGATGCAGCGGCGACGTCGACGTGCAGGAAATCGGGCTCCGCATTCCACATCGCCGATGCATCGGCAATGCGGCGCGATCCTCCGACCTCATCTGCTCCGACCCTTCTGCGGCAAGCAATGGGAGCCTCAACTTGTTGGCGCTTGGGGATCAACATTGGTCGACGCCTATCTAAGCTAAAACGACGCTCGTCGGCGCTAGTCGACGCTATATCGGCACTAACTATCTCATCGGCTACCAGACGCCAATCGACGCTGGCGCACACTGTAGACAGAATGGCGAGGGCACCCAAGGCTCCCAACATTTGCCACCGAACGACCCCATCTGAGAGGCCTAGACTTGTGGATGCCATGACAATCGGCACTCTAACAATCCAATCATTGAATTAAATACGTGTTTAAAATGCGTAAAACATGTTATAACAAGGTTTCACATCGGTTTCTCACATAGTGAAAACATGTTTGAAACATCCGTTAAACACCTGGAAATTATTTGGCAGCATGCTTCCTCTCCAGTAATCGACATCCACAAGCCTAGACGCACAAACGCCGCGGCGGCCTCTTGACGCTGTCGGTCGTCAGAGCCTCCAGGGCGTCGTCCTCCGGGTTCAGCAGCGACGGCGCGGCAACCTGCCGCGCGTCGGCGGCGCGGCTCACCCGCAGCACACCTCCTCCCACAAACCACCGGCCAGGGCTCGAGCTGAGAAGTCTTTTCCGTTGCGGTGCTTGTGTTGTTTACTGCTGTTTCGTTTTTTCTTTTTGTTTCTTGTTTTTTCAGCGCACTTTCGGTGTTGTTTTTCGTGCCCCCCACGGTTTGTCTTCGCCCCGCGCCTGCTGCACAGAGCTACACCAAACAGCGACTCGTTCGGGCCATGCCACCCGCGGCACGCCTCGTCCCCAGACTATGTTCGCGCCGTGGAACTATCCTCGCCATCGCTCGGACGTCCATTCCCCGTGCACGATTCGTTGTCGTGCATGTTTTTCCTTGTGCTCGGTGATCCTAGATGCTCCTCAATGGTCCTCGCCAAGAGAACGTGCACACGTCCGAGCGATGCCAATAATCGCGACGATAATTAGTTGGCTATGTTCTTCCTCCTGCGGAAGGAGGTCCGTTTGCCTGCGGAGGCACTCGACCGCAGACCCTCTCGTGTCATGGACGTGGAATAAACGAGACGGGAAACTTGTTCCATGTGTTCGCCCTCCAGGACCTGTTTACCGGAAGGCGCGAAGGCTTCTGAGAACGCCGCCTTCTGAGAAGGCCGTCTCCTCGTCACTCTTCCCCCCCTCTCGCTCGCCGCCGAATCTTGGGGGCCGCGGGGGGGCCAGACACCAGCGCGCAAGCCGCTGCTGTCGCCTCGCCTTCGGCGATCGGGGGGCGCCATTGGGCCTGCACCAGAGGGTCACTCTGGCGTGTTCAGCAGGAGCTCGACCACAAGGGACCTTCCAGAAGAAACCCAACCCTGAGGCCCCAGGACGTCCATTGATTTTTGGTGTGGGAACGTCACGCTTCCCATGGCAAAAGCATCGAAGCCCAGGAAATTAAGGGCACCCTGAGGGCAAGCAAGGTGCTTCTTGGCATGGGTTTCCACTGTAGTCGACGTCCCCTCCCACCCAACAGCAGGCAAGGGTGGTGGGACGCCGGCATGGTCGGGGGAACTTTTGCACAGCGTGTCGCCACCGGCGGCCCGGGCGACACGCTGTGCCTGGCGAGCGGGTCGCGTGTGGCTCCGCTCCGCGGGACGGGAAGCTCGGAAGAGCTCGGCACGTGGACTCCTCGGGACCGCGTGTCGCACCGAGCAGCGGTGGGCCAGAGCCGGCGGAACGACACGCTGTCCGCTCTCCCAGAAATCCCGACCGCATGCATGTGACCTGTCTGAAAGAGGCCTCACTCCACGGCATCAAGCAGGTCGGCAAAACTGTGGAGCCTGGCACCTGGCACGGTACAGCAGCCGAAGTCACGGTGTCGGGCAGGCAGCATGGGGTTGCCAGGGCGCCTGGTTGATTGAAGCATCGACAGTCAGCACCTGCTCTGGGAAGGCCCGCGGCGCCCAAAGAGCGCGTGCGGCCGCCGAAGAGAGGAGAGGAGGTAGGTGGAGGACTGCTGGGCTAGCAGAGCAACGTCCCAAAGTGCACGAACAGATAGACGTTCGAGGGTCCGCGCAGAATGCTTGGCTCCTCGCTGGGCACCCCCGCCTCTGGCGCGCGGAGCGCGCAACTGGTGGCGCCGGAAGCGCCGCAAACGTGGTTTTAGCTCCGATCCAAGAGATCCGAAAGAACCTCGGCAAGCTCAGGTGAGTTTGCCATTCTCGAACGGCTGCTCCGATGCATCGGGAGCGTCCAGAGAGGGGGGTCGCCCAAGAGGGGAGGGAGGGTGTGCAGCATGGTCCGATGCATGTGCGCGGTCGAGGGGGGGGGGCCCGGGGGAGGTGCTGAGAGAACCAGAGGGCGTCCTGAAAGCCGGGGCGACGCCGTGGCCTTCAGCAACGGCAAAGGCCACGCTGACGGCGATGTTGGCCAACGGCGATGTCGGCTGCTGCGACGCCGAACCGGCGCAGAACAAGCGACGAGAAAACACGAACGAGCCTTTCCTGCCATCGGGGTGGCTACGACGCTCTCCCACCTACAATACAGTCGGACTTCACTGAACAGGACACGCGAGAGGACAGAAGACCCTTCCGAGGGCCACATTGCCACAGGAATGCAGGAGGCATGGGCCGCGAGACACGGGACACAAAGGTACCCTTGATTTGGCAAGGTCGACCTACTAATCCGGGCTGACTGTACCGAGATCTGCATCGCCGTTTTCCCCCGCGGTCCTCATCCCCTCTGGACGCCCCCCAATGTTGTTGTGGAGGACGATCAATGGAGAGGAAGTATGTTGCCAAATAATTTGCGAATGTCTGAAACATGTGGTAAGCATGTTTTAAACGTGTCTTAAGCATGTTTAAAAACATGCGTATGACATTTTCCAACATTTAAAACACATGTCAAATTCAATGATAGGACTGTTGCGATGCCCATTGTCGTGGCACCCACAACCCGAATGGGTGCCAGGACTGGGCCAGTGGCCGCCTCCGAAGAGCAGGGGCCCCAAAAAAGCGAGAACAGAACACTTGGGGCGACCGAGCCTCGCGCAGACCACGCTCCCCACAGGCAGGCGCACGGTTGCTGCCAGGGGAGGCAGGCGTGAGCTGCAGCTGCGAGGCCAACAAGACGGCATCAAAACGCCGAGCTGCTGCGGGGGAGGCAAAGGCGTGGGCTGCAGCTGCGAGGCCAGCAGGACGGCAAGGGGACGCCGCGGGGAGGTGTGGCGAGATGCTCGGCCTGAGGGGCCAGGGGGAAAAGGGCAGGGCCCGGGGCCCCCTGAAGCCGAACATTGCCGACCAGGACTTCAAACAGCCCACCTGGACGGAGAGAAACAAAGAGGGAGAGAGAGAGATAGGGAGAAAAACAACAAATATAGAGAAAGACCTGTGATTCGACCCTCGACTGAAATTTCTCGAGGGCGCCAAGGATCTGGGATATCAAAAGAACAGTCCCAACCATCATGTGGTGCTGGGTCCTCGTTTTGACAAGACAGCGCCCAACGTCCTCTCTTCTTTTCCTCTCTCTTCTCCTTTTCCCTCCTCCCATGTCTGCCTCCGCCCTCCGCGTGTCCATTTTGGTACACCTCACACACACACACAATTCGTGGTCCCATGGGAATCCCCACCGAAAAAAGGGCCCAAGGGCCGCGTTCGGTACACAACTCTCACGCTTTGTGGTCACATGGCAACCCCGCACCCGCTTCGGTACACAACTCACACGCTTCGTGGCCACATAAGAGGCCCCACCGAACGCCTCAACGCCTACGTTCGCATCGCGGCCCTTCCCCCGCTTCCGCGCAACCGTTGCACGCTTCGTGGCCACATGAAAAAGGTTCCACCGAACGCCTCAGTGGCTGCGTTCGCACGGCGGCCGCGCAGCCGATTCGGCCCCCCCCGCAAACGTTTCGCGGTCCCTTATGGAGCTCCATGCGAACGCCCCAGTAGCTGCGTTCGCATGGTGGTCCCGCGCCCGATTCGGGCCCCCCCACACACGCACACGCTTCGTGGCCCCATGGGCAGCTCCAGCGGAGGCCCGATTGGCTGCGTTCGAATGGCGGCCCCACAGAATCGGCGCGACGTTCGCATGGGGCCACGAAGCGTACGCAAGGTGTGCCGAATCGGACGCAAGGCCGCTATGCGAACGCAGCCGCTGGGGCCTTCGCGGAGCACCCCACGCCAACCACGAAACGTGTGAGGGTGCGCCGGATCGACTGCGGGGCCGCCATGCGAACGCAGCCACTGGGGCGTTCCATGATGCCCCCGTTTGAGGCCACGCACCGCCCCCCCCCATCCTTCCACGAAGTCCCAGCGCGGGAGCCCTGAGGGCGGAGAAAAAGAGAGGGGGCCGCGCCCCTGCCCCCCCAAACGTGCGGCGCCCTGACTTTTTCGAGGTGGGCCCCCCGAAGTCCCGACCCTTTGCCCGGGGGACTGGTTTGTCATTCTGACGAGGTTTTGATTGCCCCGAAGCCCGTAAGGGCCTCGGGTCAGATACAGTTTTCGGTGAAATTCCCTATGGGGCCACGGAGCGTGTGAGGAGTGTGCCTCACTGGGGCCGGAGCGCCCTGCGAACCCTGCCACTGGGGCCTTCGGTGGAGCTCCCCATGCGGCCACGAAACGTTTGAGGGGTGTGCCTCACTGGGGTGGGGCCGCCATGCGAACCCTGCCACTGGTGTCTTTGGTGGAGCTCGCTATGGGGCCACGAAACGCGTGACGGGTGTGCCGAAAGGGAGGGGGGCCGCCATGCGAACCCTGCCACTGGAGCCTTGCGCCGAGCTCCACAGGGGATCACGAAACGTTTGAAGGGTGTGCCGAAATGGAGCGGAACCCGAGCCCTGTGTGCCTCAATGGGGCGGGGCCGCCGCGTGAACCCTGCCTCTGGTGCCTTCGGTGGAACTCCTCGTGGCCCGTCGCGTATTCGACACGACGGGAGGGGATGTGGGTCATCCTCCGCCCGCGAGGGCAGGCAAAGGCCAGGCTCAGGCACAGCGGGCCAGCGGGGTGGACTGCCGCCTTCGCGAGGGTCGGGCCGAGGGCCCTGGCGGCCCTCGGGCCCCCGCCGCGGGGGGTTCGCGTTGGCTCGCTCTGGCGCTCGGCACCGGCACTCGCCTGTCCGCAGGCCCCAGGAGAAGCGCAACGTTGTCTTAGGCAGCGGCCTCAAAGAGCATCTCACGGTGGTCGAGCAGCGGCGGGGCGCCTTGGGGCACAGCGGGGCACGACGGTGGGAGAAGCACAACACATATATATATATATATACACACACACACTTTTCACAGTCGCGGCCTCGCGCGCGCGGAAGCGAAGCGAAGCAAGAGTGCGGCGCCCGGAACCTACAGGGCGGTGCCCCTGCGAGCCGGCTCAGAAGGGAAGCAGCAGATTGCCAGCCGGGCGGAAGTGACGGGGAGAAGGGGGGAGCGCTTAGGCTGCCGCCCAAAGGGACTTCCCACAAGGAGAGCGCAGCGCGAGCGCGATAGGGAACAAGGTGCACAGCGACCGGCCAAGACAACATGCGGTGCCCAATGACGAGTCGAGGATGGGATGGCAGAGCGCCACGAGACGCTACCGCCTGGCATTCCTCACCTTCGCAATAACACACACACACGTTCAGTTTCGCGGCCAGCTGATCCAACGCAACGGAATTGCGGCACGCGCTAGGGGTGATGACCAGCGAACGCGCACCGATGGTAAAACAGACCGAAAAGCGGCTGACGGGTGCAGGTAAAACAAGACCAAGGTCACGCACGCGGAAGAAACTAACACAACAACAACAACAACAACAACAACAACAACAACAACAACAACAACAACAACAACAACAACAACAACAACAACAACAACAACAACAACAACAACAACAACAACAACAACAACAACAACAACAACAACAACAACAACAACAATCATTTTACCCGAACGCGTGGTGTTCTCCCCAGTGCCAGGGTTTTCATACGACACCAGGCAATACCCCCACTTCGTGGGGGGGCATTACAAGCTCTACCAAATATCCAAACGACTCTTCGCGACCACCCAAACCCAGCTTCCCGCCCTATGACGTTGGGACACTTCACTTCGTGGCGTGCGGACGACCGTGGCTACTACACTGGCGTGGGGTACACACCCACAGAACTTGGTCACTTATTCGGGGCGCGCATGTGCCCAGCATGGTGCAATTGTGCCATACATACATAATACAGAGAGACAGAGAGAGAGACAGAGAGCAGACAGAGAGAGAGACAGAGAGAGCGGAGTTGGTCACATTTTTTGGAAACCATTATTTTTTTAGGATTCGGACAGCGCGCGCGGGTGGAAATTTTGAAAAGTCGTGCAGCTGTTTTTCGAGGACCTACGGTGCGATTCGTGTGATTTTATGATGCGCGGTGGTAAAATTCTTAAGAACCCAATGGTTTTTGGAGATTTCGGCGTGCGCGCGCGAAGAAAAAACGAATGTGTCCCGCATGGTATTATTTGACAGGGATGATGGCCCTGGCAGGTGCGCAACCGTTGTCGCAGAAGTTCGAAAAAGTTGCTCGCAAAAGCCCGTTTGACAGAAATGTTTAAAAAGTGTTGGGTTTCCTACGAATCCGCAAGAGCGCGCGGGATGAGATTTTGACATTTTTTTGTTGAAAAACCATTAGTTTTTTGATGTTTTTATGTTGAAATCGCTCCGAACACTAAGCTTTTGGAAGGATTTCGTCTTGCGCGCGCGAATGTCCACTTTACCTTATTTTTTGCAAGGGATTCTTGAAATTTGATTATATTAGAACAAGAAATGTCATTTTATAGTGTTTTTTGCAAGGGAAAGCGGGGGGGAACAAAACAACCGGATCTTGATCACATCGAATTACCTGAGGCTTCCTCACGAAAATGATGAAAATGTAGCTGCGGCCTAGGCGGCGCAGGGGGGCCGTGCACCAGGGGTCCCAACAATAATTATTCTTTAGAATTAATAATGTTCAACAACAACAACAACAACAGCAACAGCAACAGCAACAGCAACAACACCAATACCAACAACAACACACTTTTGCTTGCGACCCGAGGAGGAGCGCGCGACAGCAGAGACAGAGTGCAAGAGAAGCGCGGCTGCGGCGAGGGCCCACTCACACACAGACGCACACACGCACACACACACACACGAGCCTCGAGTGGCCGAGCGACGTCAGCCCGCAGCGAGGGCGAAGGCGGGGCATGCGGGCGCTGCACATGGTGGGCTTCGCTGTGCGAGCCGTCGTGCCGAAGAAAAGGCGGCGGCTGCGCCAGGCACGCGCACGTGGGGCTGGTGTGCTGACGGATCGCGAATGCAGCGCGCAAGTGGAAGTGGAAGCACACGCGCACACACACACACACCTCGTCCTCATCCTCATTCCCCTCAACCCCCGTCCCCCCTGCGCACATGCTGACTCTCTCACCCACACGCACCTGCCTGAAGCCAGCAGCGAAGGAGGGCCCTGGAGCGCGAGCAGCAGACGGAGGTGCGCATTGTGAGCGAACATCGCCGAAAAAGCGCAGGGAAAGAACACACACACACACACCGCACGCGCCTCTGCAGACAGCAGGAAAAGGGGGGGGGGGGGGGGCTGAGGACGTCGGAAAGGAAGGCCATGTACCACGGGAAGGACCGCGGCGAGGCCGGCAGCCCCTTGTCGGGCCAGGCAAAAAGGGGGGGATACCAAACGGGGGGGGGTGCGAATCAGCTCACGTATAGCTGATTTTCCCGGCGCCTCCCGGCGCTGGAGGCGGCCATGTATCGAGGAATGGGCCCCTCGGTGGGGCCGAAACCGGCTGCGTGCAGCAACTTCCATAACCCCCCCTTGCCCTATTCCCCCCCTTTCGTCCGGCCCGATCCTTGGGAGCGCCAGCCCGGCCTTCCGACCGCCGCCGCAAGCCCCCAAGGGCCTCCACGGGGCCCCTCCGGGGCGGCCCCCTCGGCCCGAGAAGGCCCCGCCCCTCGCCCGGAAGGAACCGCCCGACGACTCACTCCTCCTCCTCCTCCTCCTCCTCCTCGCTCCTCCTCCTTATTCTTCTTCTTCCTCCTCCTCCTCCTCCTCCTCGTCCTCCTCCTCCTCCTCCTCCTCCCTCCCTCCCTCCCTCCCTCCCTCCCTCCCTCCATCGCTCCCCCCCTCCCTCCCTCCTCCTACATCCTTCTCCTCCGTCCCCCCTCGTCTCTTCTGTTTGGCGCTTTGTTCTCACACCTCCAGGCCTCTCACACCGTGCTGTCCTCTTTCTCACGCTTAAGCGTATTGGCGTAACCCAGCATGCTGTCGTGCCTTGCACCTATACGCGTATCGTGCCTGGCACATTTCCGCGGTGCTCGAAGGGCATCGTGGCTGGTCGGCGCGTCTTGCATAGCCGACCCTTTCGCGGTGACGAAGCAGTGCAAAGAGTCAGGCTGTTCTTCGCCGTATGCAGAATGGTATACCAATCGAGGGGAATTGTTGCTCTCATTCCCTTCGCGGTAGTCGTCGTCAAACTCCGATCCAAGCTGCAAGTCTTAGGGGGTGCCGCGGGCTCCGAGCTCAATCAAATCCTCCTCCATGCCGCGAGGGCGTGCTTCAATGTGCTGGCTGGGTTGGCACCTTCACATGATGTTGCTTGATGCTTGATCGCGGTCGATATTGTAAAAGCTCTGGTGATCGGCTACTGCACCGCTCTGCCACGCCATATGGGTGGCGATGTGCGTTGATCGCATGTGGTTTCTTGATAGTCGCAAGCCCTGGTGAAAGCTCTTGTGCTCGGCGTGCTGCCGCCCTGCATGCTCCACAGTCCTGGTCAAACTATGCACGCGAGCGTGTGCGCGCGTGCGTGTGCGTGTGCGTATGCGTGTGTGTGTGTGTGTGTGTGTTGAATCGATTATCGATTGTGCAGGCATGGGCCGCATTGAGATGGCTTCGTTCATAGTGTACGTTGGATTGGCTTCCCTGCTGGCTGTCGCTGCGCGATCAGAATGCAACCAGAATGTGGAGGCTTCAATTCGTCGTCAACTTCCTCATTTTCCCCCAAATCGCTGGAGAAGCTCTGGGAGTGACCAGGTGCATAACTTACGAAGTCGCTTGACAGTACCATTGCCAGTATCCTCTTCGTCGTCCTCCTCCTCCTCCCTTCACCCTCCTCGCCCTCCTTCCTCCTCCCTCCTTCCTCCTCCCTCCTCTCCTCCCTCCTCCTCCGTCCTCCCCCTCCCTCCTCCTCCGTCATCCCCCTCCCTCGTCGTCCGTCCTCCTCCTCCTCCTCCGCCTCCTCCTCCTCCGACCTCCTCTCTCCCCCGCACAACTCCTGAGGAGGGTGGGGAGAGCGACGACAGACCGACGTGGCGCGCTCCTTGAGGGCGACGCGGATGTAGTCGCGGCCCTTCAGCTCGCGGAGCCCCTCGCGCAGCCGCTGCCGCCACGCCCGCTCCGCCTCCCTGTGCTGCTCCTCCGCCGCGGCGCGTGCCTCCTCGAGGGAGGCCGCTCTTCTCTCCAGACTCTGGCAAGCTCGCTTGCGCGGGGGGGCAGGGGGGAGGACGGGGAAGAGGAGGAGAATGCGAGGAGGTGAGCGACCTCACGCGAGATGACGCGGCGAGGTTACACAGCGACCTCACGCGAGATGACACAGCGCGATGGAACAGCGACCCGACGCCGCAACTTACGCAGGCCACCCACGCGGCACGCCACACGGGAGATGCGGGCGCTCACGCGCGACCCTACGCGGGCAACTTACGCGCCAATGTCGGCGCAGTTGGAACCGTTTTTTGTGTGTCGTTCAGGTGAGAATCGTGAGGTGACCAGCCCCCCCCGGTCACGCCCGTTAGGGGCTGTTTCTCTTTGGTCGGGGCATCGCCGATAAGTAGGCAACGGAGGGCGCATCGGGCCCAAATTTGCTCGCGTCGTGCCAACAAGCATGCCGGAAGATGTTCGGCAAACTTTCAATTTTCGGCCTCTGAGGGGGGACCAGCTCAGGGGGGGAACCATCGACCTGGAATCGGCGATACATCGCCAATACATCCGCGATAGGCCACCGATAGCGAATCCGAAACGTCCTGGGCGGGGCCCTGCTATCGGGCCCCTGTCGGCGATGAATGGGCGATCGGGAGTCGATGCGTTTACCCCTGAGCCTGACCCCCACCTAACTTTGTCCCTGATGTGCGCAACTGCGGCAGGCTCCACTCTGGCAGGAACCCATTGTTATAATATTTGCGATGGCGCCCGTTATCAGCCCCTTAGCGGGCCCTGGAAACGACAGGGCCGTTTTTTTACCGGTTCCGTTTTGCCGTTTTTTTGCCGGTTCCGACGCCGTTGTTTTACCCGTTCCGTGGCCGTTTTTTGACCGGTTCCGGCTCCGGTTCCAATCCTGGAGCCGTTTTTTTTGCCGTTTCCGGTCGCCGTTTTTTCGCCGTTTCCCTTTTCAAAGGACATTTTTGGGGAAACGGTGAAAAAACGGCCCTGCCGTTTCCGGGGCCCACAAAGATCAGCCCCGCCCCCACCCCCCTAGTCACGTCACGAAGACATACAGGGATCTGCTACGGCAGAGCGTGCGCGCACTATGCAACGGATATGCAAGGACATGCGACGGATAATGGATAGCTCAGAGCAGCGTGGAAGATTGCTGACGACAGAATGCTGCTTTGTTCCATCATCTGCGTGCCCTCTTCCTCCTCCTCCTCCTCCTCCTCCTCCTCCTCGTTCCCTTCTCATCCCTCCCTCTCCTCCCTCCCGATTCCCTCCGTCGTCGTCGTTACGCTCCTCCTCCTCCTCCTCCGTTTCCTCCTCCTCCTCCGCCTCCTCCGCCTCCTCCTCCTCTTCCTGTCGACCTCGTCCTCTGCGCTGCAATGTGAGGTGCTCCGCACACGGGCGGGACAATGAAGGAAGGAGTCGAGAGGAGGGAGGGGGCGCGGGAGGCGGGGCCAGGCCGAAACGACTTGTTTGATGTTTGATTACACGACGGTTCTGTCATCCAGTAGTGCGTAGTGCTCGGGGAGGCGTCTGGGCGCCCATGGGACCGAGGGGGACGTGGCCTCAGCGGTATCGCACCGCTCCTCTTCCTCATGCCTCTCTCCTTGTCGCTCTCCCCCTCCTCCGCCTCTCCTCCTCCTCCTCCTCCTCCTCCTCCTCCCTCCTCCTCCTCCTCCTCCTCCCTCCTCCTCCTCCTCCTCCTCCTCCTCCTCCTCCTCCTCCTCCTCCTCCTCCTCCTCCTCCTCCTCCTCCTCCTCCTCCTCCTCCTCCTCCTCCTCCTCCTCCTCCTCCTCCTCCTCCTCCTCCCCTCCTCCTCCTCCTCCTCCTCCTCCTCCTCCTCCTCTCCTCCTCTCCTCCTCCTCCTCCTCCTCCTCCTCCTCCTCCTCCTCCTCCTCCTCCTCCTCCTCCTCCTCCTCCTCCTCCTCCTCTCCTCCTCCTCCTCCCTCCTCCTCCTCCTCCTCCTCCTCCTCCTCCTCCTCCTCCTCCTCCTCCTCCTCCTCCTCCTCCTCTCTCCTCCGTATCGCGCTGCAAAGTGCTTCGCTGCACAACGGTGTGCACACCATATCGCCTCGGCGCACCACAAGGCCCAGGGACGTGGGGAGTGTCGTAGGCACATGTATGACGCGCGCTGTGCCGTAACCATTTCCACGCATTCCCAGACGAAGGCGGCGCGAATTGTGAAGTGACCAGTCCCTCCCCCCACGCCCGTTAGAGGCTGCTTTTCTTAGGTTCTGGCAAGTTTACTTGCATGGAGGGGGAAGGGGGGGGCCGAGGCCCCATAGGGAATCTGGTCGTCACGCGAGCAGGGACTCACTTTCACGCCTTTTTCGGCCCAGCATTGCCGGGGAGGGGGGAGAGGGGGGGGGGAATGTCATACAGATGAACTTGCATGAGTCTCTTACCCAGACACCAGACGTCGTGATTTTGTTGACAACGCCAACCCCCAGAGGTCTGGACCCCTTCCCCGGGACAAAGTCTTCATCCTGAATATTTTTTGACGACCCCGAGGCCCGGCAAGGGCCCCCTGGAGGCCGGAAACAACGAAGAATCTCCCGTCGTGACTCTTTCGCGGTGCGAGGGAGCCTGTGTCATCGATAAGGAACTTTGAAACGCTCCCCAGGCCTGTCAGGAGAGGCGAAGTCCTTTCGGAGCAAATCCATACGGAGCCCGAGCACTCCGTGTGGACTTACTCCGTATTTGAACAGGGACCGACCGTCCCGGCATTCCTATACTAGATTACTATATTCCTACCACTAAATGTTCTTGAAACCCTAAAATGTCCTAATAACAAAAACAATGTTCTTAGAACATAAGCCCGATATAATAAAACAAGATAGACTCCGCCAGAAAAGTTCAAAGAACATTTCGCGGGAACCACAAAAGCCTTCCTAGAACATCGTCTGGTAGGCCTACAGGCGAGCCGGGACGCTTCGCCACTCCGCCTCCGCCGAGCCCGGCTCCTTCGCGCACGACGGCGCCTCCCCGCTGGCCGCCGGCGCGGGCGCGAGGGCGCTGCTGTCTGCCCCAGCCGCCGCCGCAGGGACGATCTGCCCGCCCTCCGCAGCGGGCTCCGCCTGGTGGAGATCCGATGTGCGGGTGCAGTCAGCCGGGCACGCAGGACGAGGACGCCAGGGGGCCTCGGAGGGCCACGTCGACACTTTGCGGGCGGGGGGCTCGGCCAGCGAGACCGGCCAAGGAAGGGCCGAAGGGGAAGGATGCAGAGGTATCCGCCCATCGCAGCGGACTCCGCCTGGTGCAAAGATCCGGTGTGCGGATGTCCTCAATCCAGGCAGGCTGCCCAGACCCCCTGGCGCTGTGGAAAAAAACACGGCGGGAGGTTTTTCCGTGTTGTCGGCCTCTGGGGGCCCTTACTTGGCCTCAAGACGGTCCCAACACGACTCGGAATGCAAAACCAGTCCCAGGGCAGGGGTCCAGACCTCTGGGGGTCGGCGTTGCAAAACAATCAAGAAGTCGGGGGTCTGGTTGGTGCAGTTCGGGCCCTGCCACCCTCAGACGTTCGCAGCAACAGTCGTGTGCTAACGAACTCATGGTGTAGAGGTTTGGGTAGCTGGTGGGTTGCTGTGGCTGCCTACGTTTAGGCAGCATCGGCACCACACCTTTTTGGCACAACTTATTTTACGCGCGTAGCTGAGCGGATCTCAAGGCCAGTCCCAAGGCTGCAAATTCAAGGGGCTGCTGAGAGGAGAAAGACTCGCCGATCCTCTCCTGCCAACCATCCTGGGTCACGAACAGCGCATGACAGGATGATTTCCACCATTCAGGCATACGGGGGCCCTCACCAGGCCTCGGGGCCGTCAAGAAACGACTCGGGATGAAATGCCGGTCCCCAGGAAGGGGTCGAGACCTCTTCGGAGACACGCTGAGAGAAAATGACGACGTCTGATGCCTGCAATGTGTGGATATTTTCCATGCGGGCTTCCTCGTGTGGTCGTCAGCGGGGGGGTGGGCAACGCGCAAAAACGGGACGTGGAAGCAGCGTGGGCCCTGCGTGCACCTGCTGGGCCCGCGGTGGCAGTTCAGCGGACCGCTTGCAGGCAGAGCACGGCCACGAGAACGTGGGTCAGCAGCACGCGCCCCGTCGCATCTTCTACTCGCACCCCTTCCTTCCGCACCCGGGCCCATCGCGCCGATTGCCACGGGAGCGGCCCTGCGCCGGCCGCCCCCGAGGGGAGCACGCGGCAGCCGTCCTATGTGGAGGGCGGGGCCGGCAGCTCGGGCCTAGCCCACCAGCTTGCCGCCCTCGCACCCGAGCGCGCCGCCGAGGCGGCAGTACTCCGTCGGCGCCGCGCCCGGCTCTGGGCGCATGACGCCGTCCTGGCCCCGGCGCAGCGGCGCGGGCTGCTGCGGCAGCGGTGCGCCGGGGCTGGCCTGGATGGTCTCCCCGTGGGGGTGCGAGGCGGGGCAGATCGCCACGTAGCGCGCGTAGCCGCCCGTGCCACCCAGGGCCTTGAGGAATCCAACGGAGACGAGGCAGCCACTCTCGGCCACGAGGTCGAGGTTGGCGACGCCCTCGGCCTGCGCGAAGTTGTGGTGCATCAGCCACGCCTCGCCCTCGAGGTTGTC